GGAGACGTTTCTTAATGAAAATTTTTCATATTTCGACTTTGGATCATAATATTGCTGTTCACGATGCACGTAGAGCAAAAATAAAGACACTTTTCTTATATAAATTAACCTCAAGCTATCCATTAAGCCTAATAAGAACTCGATCCGTTCAGCGATTATTTCAATATGATAATCTCGAACATCTCCAACTATCCGACTCGCGTAAAGATACACGGCGCGTCTTGTTGCTTACGCGGGACTTAGCACAAGACACTACCGTGTCTCTTGATAGATCATGCATACATGTGACTATGCTTTTTTCTCTCTTTTGCATTTATTGATATTGTGTTTTTATTTTTTTTTCCTCAGTTGATTTATTTATCTTTTCTTTGTGTTTATTAGAATCACTGAAGAAAGCTCGAATTGAGTCCGAAACGTTTGGAATAAAGCGAAAGGATCGTTAAAATTGATTTGCTGTCTTGGAAATTATTTTATCCACGTCCTACAACTGCGTTGGCTCTTTACTGCCTTTTACTATTCATTATTGATTTGTTAATTTAGAGGAGCCTTTAACTTTGTTTATTTTATTATAATACAAATACATCGTATAGAAGTAAAGGAAAGAATTAAAGCTTTATACATATAATCTTTATATAATCTTAGGATATCGTTGTGTTTCTACTATTATTTCATGATAATAAACCATGCTGTGTTTCTGCTATTTTCTCTGTTAGTTTTAAAAATACGCATGTTCTACCGCGTTTATTTCATTATGCCGTATTTACAGATACACCTTTCTGATATTCTTCCATCATAGCATAACGTATATATTATATTTACTTTTCATATTATATTTAATTTTGATTTATTTTCTTGTTGATTTATGGTAAATGCAATATTTAAATTCTATTGCTTGTACACTAAAAACCTCTGCAGCATTTTAAATAATATAACACAAGAATGCTCGTTTTCTGTTGCATTTTTTTATAGACATTACTTAAAATGATATATTATGTTTGGTCATTGTTAGAATTTTGTCAACATGATATAATTAACTTTATCAACATATTTATACACAATGTGCTCTTGGCACATTTGGCACTTTGAGGATCATATACTATTTTATTAACATGTATTACATTTTTTTACACACGCGCAAGCATGTATTATTTTTATGAAAAATTATATCTAACGACTTCTTACCAGTAACATTTATACAATATTTGTAACATTCAATTTTGTTGAAAATTATATTAATATAATTATATATACAGTGTCCATGAAATGAAGTGTACATGGAATGTACATTATGATGATTCATGTTAGCAGAAACAACTTTTTCCTCTGACAAAATTGTTTCTTATTGTGACGTGCGCTACTCCTGATTCATGAATAATTTAGAACTAGTTCTAATTTATGAATTACTAATTCGTTATCTTAAAGTTACCTTTATTTAAACAGTATTTATTTAAACAGTGTTCAAATGTAATTTTGCCAAAAATTATTCTGGCACGAACAATCATGTTGTGCATTCGTGTCCACGAACTCTGGAATACTTTGTAATAATGATACAGGGTGTTTCATAAGTGGTGGGCAAAATTTCAGGAATCGATTCCTTGCTTAGAGAAGAAAAAAAAATTAATCAACATAGGTCCGGAAATGATTAGTTTTTGAGTTATTATGATTTTTGTAATACAAAATTTTGTCTCCCTTCTTTTTCTTAGAAGTCCTTTTACAGGCATCAACAATGTTTTTCAAGTTCGGCAACATTGTTGATGTCTGTAAAAGGACTTCTAAGACGAGAAATGAGACAAAATTTTGTATTACAAAAATCTTATCCATTCCTGAGGAATCCATTCCTGAAATTTGCCCACCACTTATGAAACACCCTGTATATGAGACATATTCAATTTTCGCCACATTTTGTCGCAAGGCTACCAGATTGCCCATGCAACGTCCAGCGGCGGCACGATTCGTATCCCCACCACTTTCGCATACTAAGGCATAAGCTCTCATTCGTGTACGCTCGACGTTCGACTACTTTCGGTTATCTTCGGTTATCTTCGGTTACCTTTGACAGAGAAAGACGGATAGATTAGCTTCTATCTCTTTCTCTTTTGAGAAGTCTATTATATCTTACCTATCTCTCTGAATACAAGCTATGTGTCCTCGAAATCTCGTGTTAACGAATTGACGGTAACATGTGCGATACTTATTATTACACATATTTTCCTATTGATTTTTTTATAAAAGTTTATATGTTGTTTAAAAAAGAGAATAAATATACAACATATACAATATATACAACATATACAAAAACAAATTTGATATATTTTTATCTAAATTTATCTAACATATTTTTATCTAAATTTTTTCACTCTTGGCCAATATGTACGCTTTTTTATTTAAAAAAAATTCTTGTAAATAAAAAAATAATTGTAATAAAATATTTAAATTTATTTTAATAGAATTTTATTTTGTATTAATGTATGACGTACATCCTGTTGCTCAACGGAAACCGCGAGAAGGTGGTAGTCTCTTTCGTTAAAAAGGAAATGTAAAAAATTTAATAAATGAATAACCAAAATAAAATAAAAATAAAATAATAAATAATAAATAAAAATAAAAAATAAAATTGTAATAAAATAATAAAATATAATCAATTTTCTAATTAATAAAAGGTCAAAATATTATTTACATTTCCTTACACACACACGCACACGTGCACACGCTATCCGGAATCTTAATCTTACAGTTACTTTCAAGGTCAATTTGAAGGTTGATAAAGGCACTTTGAGAAAAAGCGTTTGATACAAAAGTTTCTTATTTTTTCAATGTACAATTCGAATCTGTAATAAACAGTACCATGTTCCTCTAAAAAAATTCAACTTCTGATCCGGATGGCGTATTTTCGGTCGGAATCAGAAGTTGAAAATATCACTATTTGATAGAGCATACTCGATTTACTTCAAAATTGTTCGCGATTTTTAATAAAAGCCATTTATTTTCATTTTAAAAAAGGTGTAGTATGGATGGTCTGAGATATCCTGCATATTTCATTTTTATACCTCTATTTTTGTAATATAACATTTATCTTTTTATGTAAAAATTTATGTAAAATTTATATATTAATTATTATTTATTAATGTTATACATTTTTTATACAATATATAAAGTTAAAAAAAAAGAATTAATAGAAAAAGATTATAGGGAAAGATTGTGATAATAAACGTCACATATTTTACATCGCCAACTCGATTTCGAGGATCACATAGCTATTGTAGAGAGATAGGTAAGATACAATAGATCTCTCAGGAGAGAAGAGAACAGAAGCTAATTTATCTGTCTTCCTCTGTAAACCGAAAATAACCGAAAGTGGTCAAACATCGAGCGTACATGGATAAGAGCTCAGGTCTTAGTGTGCGAAAGTGGTACGGATACAAATCGTACTGTCGCTGGACGCTGATCAATCTGGTAGCCTTGTTTTGTCGCATTGTGATTTTTGTTAGTGTTTTGCTGCATTTCTGCCTTCAATTAATAAAGGCTGTATTCCAAAATTCACTGCCAATACTATAAATCTATTACGTTAAGAATAGATTATTACATCATGACGGCAAATTGTGCTCAATTTTTGCTGTTTTTATTGTCAGTTTCAGAGAATGTGCTGCATCCATGTTACGTTTCTTATTGTACTGTAACAGCAAATCATTTGTAATTTCTACTACATTTCTGCTATTAATGATATAATGGATTTTGTTTGATATTTGCTATATATTTGTTATTACGATATAACAATAATAATTAAGTTTGCTGCATTTTAATCATTGTACTACATCGACAAGGCAGAAATTAAATTCATTAAGAAAACACGGAATCTGTTGCAAAAGCATGATTTAATTTATTGCTACACTACCAAATTTTGCTACCTAGCTATAAATAAATATACAGAAACTTCTGTACATTTACATATGTACATATACAGAATGTTTGATAAAGATTGGACAATGCTCATGAGCGGGTAGAAAGCAGTAAATCGAACAGAAAAGTCTTTTAACATTTTGCAAATTTTTGCGATTATTAAAATATTAATTAAAAAGGATTGGCAAATAAACGTATATAGATCTTGGGATGTGTGCTTTAGGCATATCAACAGCGCATATCTAACGGCAACGAAAAGACAAAAGTCGAAAAGCACACGGCCAAACTTTTCGTTGCCATATGACATTTGTCATTGATATATCTAAAGAACATATCTCACAATCCAGGCGCGCAAAACATGTGCTAATTTGCCAATCAATTTTAACTAATATTTCAATAATTATCGTAAAATTTGCAAAATAGTTATTTCTATTCAGTTTATTACGCTCTATTCGCTTATAAACATAAACGTACACGTAGACACACACACACGCACACGCGCGCACACACACGCACACACACACAGATTGTTTGATGAAGATTGGACCAACATGAGTGAGTAGAGCGTAATAAACTGAAATAATAATTAAGAAAGATTGGAAATGAGCATATATGCAATATATATATATACATACATACATATATATATATATATATATATATATATATATATATATGTTGCATATGTTTATATATTAGGAAACATTACAAAAAAATATATATATATTTTTTGTAATGTTTTCTAATATATAAACTTATTTTATTATTTGTTCCTATAAATTAAGCTTGCATTACTTTATTATTTCTTATGTATAAATTTGCAGAATTTATTATTATGTATAAATTTGCAGAATTTATTATTTTTCTACAAGCGAGGAAGACAAGGTAGGATTTCAACATTAAAGTTTTTCTCATCACTATATGTTGCTATTACTATTTCTTTACCTATTATATTTGCAAAAGATATTATTTATATAAAAATCGTAATTATATTGTTGAATATTATACAAATCATCATTAATTATTGTTAAATTTCGCAATAAAATTAAAAATTTTTGTTTGAAATTTGGTACACAGAAATTGAAAATTAGATAAAAAGAAATTTAAAAAAATAATATCTTGAGTTATAAAACGAAGTGTATATACAATAAGAAATAACTTACATATCATATTTCGCTATATTATAATATTCAGTAATTGCACATCTTTTTCACTGAATAAAGTTATTCAATGTCATCCTAAAGCATCACCAATTAAAAAATATAGCATACATACTACTCTTCAATCATCAAGTACATAAAATATCAACTCGAGCACTGTATGTGCATCTTGACTGCTTTGTGCAGCTTTATGTAGAACTTGAATTAACTCATTATCTAAGCTCTTCATATAGATGGGTGGTAATTTTATACCTTCGCTACCAGCTTCATAGCCCACCTATATATGCATTTAAAATTAGATTTAATGATATATTTAAATAGTTTAAAAATAATTAACTATAATTCTATTATATATATATATATATATATATATATATATATATATATACAGGGTGATTATAAAGTGACATATAAGGGAGACATATAAAGTGACCGATGTGAACATCAGCTAAAGTTGAAGAGCTATGAAAAAATTTTTATATCAAAAGATGTTTGACACAGAGGGGGATATTGTATAATGCAAACGATATTTTTATAGATAAAGACATTAAGGAGATTTCAAGATTAACTTAATTTTTTTAAATGGAACCCCCTATTTTTTATTACGTATTCTTATAATTTATTACATATTCTTAGCTTATGTCGAGAGCTTTCCAAAACACTATAATAAAGTATTTCTTCGTTAAAAACGTAGTTGTTTTTAAGAAAAAAATATGGAATTGTTAATTGCAAATTACATATTTTTTTTAAGAAACAACTATTTTTCCTTTACACCAATTAATATCTTTCATTATTTTGTATATAAAAGTATTAAGGTAAGATATGAAAAATGATGGTAAAAAATGAATATTTTATTTTATGGTTTATGTAAAATTAAGAAATTGTTTCAAGCCTCATAACTCTAAAAGTACTCAATGAAGAAATACTTTATTATAGTGTTTTGGAAAGTAATCGAGATAAGCTATAAGACGTAATAAAAAATAGGGGGTTCCATTTTAAAAAATTAAGATCTTGAAATCTCCTTAATGCCTTCATCTAGAAAAATATCGTTTGTACCATATGATGCCTCTCTCTGTGTCCAACATCTTTTGGTATAAAAATTTGTTCATAGCTCTTCAACTTTAGCTAATATTCGGTCATTTTATATGAATCATCCTGTGTGTATGTGTGTGTGTGTATCTATATGTATATATATACAGGGTGTCCTAGACCAACCGTACACCCCTTTTCTTTCAAAAACTAAGCATTTTAGAGAGAAACGTTTTAGACAAAAATTGGTTTTGAGGGAAATATAAGATGATGTCATTGATTACACCCTCAATAGTCGTTTAAAGGTCACGTAAAAGTCACTTTCAATTTCTTAAATGGGATTCCCTACTTCTCATTGCATATTCTTATAGCTTATCTCAAGAGCTTCCCAAAACACTATAATAAAGTATTTTTTCATTGAGTACTTTTCGAGTTATAAGGCTTGAAATAATTTTTCAATTTTACATAAACCATAAAATATCTAGTAAAATATTCATTTTTTTATTATCTTACCTTAATACTTTTATGTACAAAATAATGAGAGGAATCAATTGGTGTAAAGAAAACACACAGTTGTTTAAAAAAAAAATACGTAATTGTTAATTGCAAATTACATATTTTTTTCTTAAAAATAACTATATTTTTTCTTTACACCAATTGATTCCTCTCATTATTTTGTACATAAAAGTATTAAGATAAGATAATCGAAAAATGAATATTTTACCAGATATTTTACGGTTTATGTAAAATTAAGAAATGATTTCAAGCCTCATAATTCGAAAAGTATTTCATAGAAAAATAATTTATTATAGTGTTTTGGAAAGCTCTCGAGGTAAGCTACAAGAATATGAAATGAAAAATAGGGGGTTCTATTTAAAAAATTGAAGCTGACCTTCACATAACCTTGACAACGCTATTCGAGGTCATAATAATGTTGCTGTGTAATGCGCCACATAAACCCCTATAACTTTTGTATGAAACATTTTTTTTTTAAATGCGTATTTTTCGAAATATTAAGGAGTATCCAGACTTTTTCCTAACCCTGTATATGAGAGAATGTATGTACATGTATGTGTGCGCGTGTGCGAGCGTACGTGTATGTGATGTGTATCATGTATACAGAGCGTCTTAAAACTAGCAGATGTTCTATTCATAAAAAAATTTTATCAAATTTATCAAATTTTATAATCAATTTGGAAACGATTTTTCCTCAGTAAAAATGTCAAAGAGAAAATCTTTATTTTTTCAAATGTTTGCTATTATATAATGACTTTAAACCTTTAATTAAAATTTTATTACAACAAATTTCATCTGGAATTCAGTATCGAATATAATTGAATTAATCCCTACATTTCATAAAGTTTAATTTGCAAAGAATTCTTTTTCTCAATTGTTTATATCTTGAAAATTATTGATGCTTCGATATTTTTAACGAGGAAAAATTATCTTTAAAAGAACGTGATTTTAAGATATCTTATCAGATGTGGATACGCGCAAATATACAAAGTGTCCTATTTTAATACAAACAGCTGTACATCTTTTATACAAACTTAACATCGCATAGAAAAATGTTTCAAACAAAATTTATAGTTTTAATAAAGGAAAAACAATTGGGTAATTATTTACTTATACGGACCACCCCGATTTCAATAATTCTCACATATGTTATCAAGATCATCACTCTGAGTAATATGTTTGTGTGGAATACACTTCACTTTGCATAGAAAGTTACAAATGTAACATTTTTCGCATATATTTTACAAATATTTTAATAACTCATCATATTTTGTTGTTAAGGTAAGAAACTCGTAGAACTTCATGTTAATTGTACAACAATCTGTCTTGTACTAACTCACCTTTCCTTAAATATTTTCAAAGTCATAAGAAATATCAAAAACATAGAAGCCTATTATTGTTCCACTATGTGATTTCAATATAAGAAAGGTAAACAATGTGAAACGACAACATAGTTTATATACGGTGTCATAAAATTACATATTATTCATTAGACATTTTTTGTTTATAACTTTTTAATAAACAACCGCCGACTAAAACCTTCACAACATTACTCAGAATGATAATCTTGATAATATATGTGAGAATGATTGAAATCGGGAGGTGCTTCGTACAAGTAAATAATTATCAAAAATTGAATTTAATCTTGAATTTTAATGTCATTTTTTAAGGTCATCTAGATTAAGGTTAATCTAGTTTTTCTAGAGATGGAATCATCCTAATTGTTTTATATAAATTGAATCCTTGTAATATTCGGTGCAAAAAATATAAGCGTGAGATGGCTAAAAATTGAATAGTTTATTAGATATTTTAATTAATATAATTTACATAAACTGTAAAATATTAATTTTTCTATGTGATTTTATTTCAATACTTGCAAAATAATATTGAAATAAAGAAAAAAATAAAAGAAATATATAATTTGCAATGAAATTGTATTTTTTCTTAAGAATAACTATTTATCATCAATTGATATTTCTCATTATTATATACATAAAAATAATATAATTGAAAAGTAATCAAGAAATGAATATTTTACAAAATATATATATCTACTTTATTTTTTATATAAAATTATATCAAAAAATATATAAAATATTTCGCAAAACAATTCAATTTTTAGCCATCTTATCTTCATAACTTTTTACACTAAATATTATAAAGTATCGATTTATTTAAAAAAAATTCAATGAAAAAACTAAATTATTCTTTATATCTTGGAGAATCTTAGTTATAATTCAAGAGTTTTTTCTCCTCAAAATCCTATAAATTTTGTTTAAAACATTTTTTTGTATGATATCAAGTTTAGAGATATACTATAACTGTTTTTATTAAAATGAGGTACACTATACGTATGAATGAAAAATTATGAATTTTTATAATAAATTATAAACTATAATAAACAAGAATTATATTTACATTGTCTGAATGAATAGTTGCTCGCACCCCAAGCTTCGTTAAACCTGCTGTCGCTAGAAGATCCAACAGTTTAACCAATGCTGCACATGTCGCTTTTGCTATATTTCCAGATAGTTTATTTATATCCACCGGATCATTTACGCCATTCGAATAATCATCCGACTTATAAAATAATATTATTTTATTAATTATATATATCTAGTTTTTATATATATATACAGGGTGGCTCATTTTAATACATCCAGTCGAATCTCTCGAAAACCAAGCCCAGGAGAGAAAAATGTTTCAGACAAAAGTTGTTTGGTTTCGAGGGAGCCATAAGATGATACCATTGGTTTGACCTTGAAGAGTCATTTGAAGGTTACCTGAAGGTCACTTTAATTTTTTTAAATGGAACACCCTATATATTTTTCCATTCTTATATCTCATCTCGAGAGCTTTCCAAAACACTATAATTAAGTTAGTTTTCATTAAGTACTTTCCAAGTTATGAGGCTTGAAATTATTTCTTAATTTTACATAAACCGTAATATATCTAGACTAAAATATTCGAAATTGTTTCGAAGAAAGAATATGTAACTGTTAATTGCAAATTACATATTTTTTCTTAAAAAAAATAACTATGTGTTTTCTTTACACCAATTGATTCCTCTCATTATTTTGTACATAAAAGCATTAAAGCAAGATAATCGAAAAATTAATATTTTATTAGATATATTACGATTTATGTAAAATAAAGAAATAATTTCAAGTCTCATAACTTGGAAAGTACTTAATGAAAACTAACTTAATTATAGTGTTTTGGAAAGCTCTCGAGATGAATTACAAGAATGTGCAAAAATATATAGGGTGTTCCATTTAAAAAAATTGAGGTGACCTTTACGTGACCTTCAAATGACTCTTCAAAGTCAAACCAATGGTACCATCTTATGGCCCCCTCGAAACCAAACAACTTTTGTCTGAAACATTTTTCTCTCCCGGTTTTCTCTCCTTGGTTTTCGAGATATTTGACTGGATGGATTAAAATGGGCCACCCTATATATATATATATATATATATATATATATATATATATATATATATATATATATATATATATATGCTTTAATATTTTTTATCTTATTATGATACATACTTTTATAATAAATACTTCTGTCCAGCGTATAAATCGAGTTGTACCTCTATAATCACTGCCATTGTGTACTCTAATAGATGGTATACCGTCCATTAGTTGTCCATCAATAGGACTTTTGACTCTGATAATAAAAAATCACAATGTCTTATTAAATAATGAGACAAAGTTCACAATATAAGGTAATCTAAAAATGCAGAAATATATACGCACATATGCACACACGCACACACACAAACATGCACAAATAGCATTTGTTATTTAGAAAATTTCGAATTGAAGAGATTGAACATATAGTTTGTAATTATTTCATATACTAATTAAATAAGATTTATCAAGATAATTTACCCCAAATTAAACAGCACATCGTTATCGACCCACTTTATATTTACAATCTCGTCCGGTTCCGATGCTCCTTGACGTCCGCAACCGATTGAAAAATCCTGCATATTTTTAAGAGCAGCTTTTAAAGCTTCCATTTTTTCTGACATTATTTCTACCATTAATCCATCCTCTACAATACTAGACTTGGCAGAAAGTCCCATTGATGATTTCAGAGCACCATTGATGACAATAAAACTAGCACCAGTTACTATATAATAGAGAAAAATATATAAACAATATATAAATAATGGAAAATATATAAACACTATTCTCTACAAGATGTTAATAGTATCATACTTATAAGTATGATAATATTATATTATGATAGTAGTATTAAATGTAAAACATTAAAAATTAAAATATTAAAAATTTAATACCATTAAAAATAAAATAAAAAATATCAAGTAAACACAGATTAAAAAATCAATGTCAGAAACAATTTCCAATTTTAATAAAGCAAATAATTTACTTGCTTTTATTTATCATGTTAACACAAAATAAAAATTATTGTACATATTCTTATTCTATTATTTAATTATATTATTCTCATTATATTATATTACTATATTATTATATTATATTTAAAAATATAAAAAATAATATTCTATGTTCTTCCTCTATTTGCACATATTTCCTATTTTCTTTTAGAATTCAGATTTTCAGAAATACAAAATTTAAAAGCAAAGAGGTCTCATTTCATAAAAATGGCTTCGGTTAAATTGACTGAAATTAAAATATGTTGTCGTTTAGGTGATGCTGATCACAAGTTTACTCAGGCAAAAAGTTAGAAAATCAAAAGTATAAGATGATTTGAAGTGGGCGGTATTGAAGTTAAAAAACGCTTGTTTTTGAATACATAAATTAAATTAATATAAATGTTTTCATACAAAAATAATATATAATTAATTAATATATATATTTTCTTTATTATAAAGTTTGCAGAATTCAAAGCATTATATGTTCATTTCTTAAAAAATCCAAGTGAGAAAAATAATTCTCTTAAACATTCTTTACTTAGACTTAATAAGTACTATTTATCTAATAAATTCTTATTAATTCTTTTTTTACATTCCACATGTAGAAATTTTACGTATGACATTAGAAATTTAATATACAGGGTGGCCCACGTAAAGTGTTACAAATTTATATCTCGGAAACGAAGCAATTTAAAGAAAAATGTTTCAGACAAAAGTTATATGGCTTGAAGGGGGACATAAGATGGTATCATTAATTTGACCTTGAAAAATCACCTGAAGATCACGTGAAGGTCACCTCCAACTTTTTCAACGGGACACCTTATATTTGCTTTTGCATATTCTTGTAGCTCATCTTTCCAAGAGCTTTCCAAAACGCTATAATTAAGTTAGTTTTCATTAAGTACTTTCCGAGTTGAGGCTTGAAATCATTTCTTAATTTTACATAAACCATAAAATATCTTGTAAAATATTCATTTTTCGATTCATTATCTTACCTTAATACTTTCATGTACAAAATAATAAGAAGAATCAATTGGTGTAAAGAAAACACATAATAGTTTAAAAAAAAAAAGTTAATTGCAAATTACATTTTTTCTTTCGAAACAATTATGTGTTTTCTTTACACCAATTGATTCCTCTCATTATTTTGTACATAAAAGTATTAAGATAAGATAATCGAAAAATGAATATTTTACTAGATATTTTATGGTTTATGTAAAATTGAAAAATTATTTCAAGCCTCTTAACTCGGAAAATACTCAATGAAAAAATACTTTATTATAGTGTAGTTTATTATATTGTAGTTTTTGGAAAGCTCTTGAGGCAATTTACAAGAATATGTAAAAATATATAGTGTCCCATTTAAAAAGTTGGAGGTGACCTTCAGGTGACTCTTCAAGGTCAAACTAATAGCACCATCTTATGTCCTCTTGAAACCATACGACTTTCGTCTGAATTTTCTCTTCATTCATTTTTTTCTAAATTGCTTCGTCTTCGAGATATAAATTTGTAACGCTTTACCTGAGCCACCCTGTACATGAACTCACCTGTTCTCGGCTTATTGTGAATATTTATCGCTTGTGTTTGATAACTGCTTTCATCGCCACTATTTGTTTGAATGCAAACTAAGTGTGAATCTGCAGCTATACTAAAATTTGAAGCATAAGCCAATACATGATCATTCGAATTATAAAGTCCTTTTATAACTTGGTCATATCGATTTCTGGGAAACATAACGTCTGTTGTTCGATTCTTGAGATGAATTGTTAAGCCTCTTACTCCTGGCAAAGTATATCCAAAATTTCTAAAATCTGCTAGTACTTTCATGACAGTATGTCCAATCTCGAAGTATAATGCATCGCGAAAACGCACAGATACCAATGGACAAGGATAATAACGATATTCCGCACCAAGACGTAAAAGAAGTCTTAATGGGAATACTTTAGCCCATGGAGTTTCCCACCTAAAATAAATAGAAAATATAAGTAATTATTGTGAGTAAAGATAATCATTGAAACAAACTGCAAAATTAAATAGCTTCATTTACAATAAAACATGCAATATATATCATATTTATTAATTAAAAGGGATATTATATATTTTCCTCTATATTAAAATATGAATTTTATTTTATTGTATATTTAATTGTAAAAAATGTTATTGATAATATTAACTGTAATTTTACAAATAATAAATTACAACATAAAGAAATCTTTTGTGATATCATACAATATAAAGATTATATGTATAATCCCAAAATATTATTATTTTTTATTATTATTTATAATTATTAAATTTTCTTATAATGTAAACTGAATAGTTTCATTTAGTTTTTCAGATTTAAAATAAGAATATAGCTAAAATAGATATAACTAATTACACAATAACATATAATAAAATTTAACTTTTTTTTGCGAGCTGAATCTTTCTTATAGATTTTTTTTGATAAATTCATATCCAGCTGCAGAATTACTCTGTCACAATTTTAATCATGTTGCAGCACGTCACGATTTCAAAAAAAAAAAAATTGCATAGAAACTTCTAGAAAGGGGTGTTTTAACAATATTTAAAATACTACTAAGTTTGAGACCAAATATAATTCATGGACCTACTTTACTTATTTATTTGTTTCTGTATGTTATCCTTATATCTTATCCTTATCTATAAACGAGATAAAATAAGGAGTGAATAAATGCATGAATCGAATGAGATCATCAATTTTGATATTTTGTTTAATAATGATTGCTTAAGCAGACTGACAAAAAAATGATATGATTGACAAAAAATTTTTACAATATAAATCAACTTTCGAATTAATGCACAGGATTGGATATGTGATGACGAACCGTCATCGTTCATGGTTTAGTTATACATGATTTAGGTCTACATAATTTAATAAGCGACAGCATCACGTAATATTCCCATTGGAATTGTCTTTATTTTGAAAATATCTAGTTTTTTTCGAATTTTTTAGATTTTATATTAAATATAATTAAATATAATTAAGTATAATTATCGATGATTTTTTAAAATTTCAGATTAATATTTGCTTTCAAAGTTATAGAATACTCTTAATATTGCCAACATATATCTTTTTAAAGTCTTTTTCTATTTTATTTTTCTCAAAATCAAGATATGTATTCAGCATAAAAAAATCTATAAGATTTGATGAATTCAAGTCGCAAAAGTCCTGTTGAATTGTTATATAATAAACATAAATAGTATAAATAATTAAATAAATAAAACTATATATATATATATATATATATATATATATATATAATTAAATAAAAACTTAATAAATACTTAAAAGGAAAGAAACTTTATATAGTGTCTTTATTTATATTACCTAAATGAATATACATTAATGAAATAACTCAAGATAAACGATGCAAGAAAAAAATTAACAGATTTATTATACAGGATGTTCCAAAAGTCCCGGACCGGTCGAATATTTCATAAACTATGCACTTTAGAAAGAAATGTTTCAGAAAAAAGTTGTATGGCTTGAAGAGGGCCATCACATAGTGACAATGATTTGACATGGAAGAGTCATTTGAAAGTCACGTGAAGATCACCGTCAATTTCTTAAATGAAACTCCCTATTTTTTATTAAATATTCTGGTAGCTCACGTCGAGAGCTTTCCAAAACACTATAATTAAGTTAGTTTTCATTAAATACTTTCCGAATTATGAGGCTTGAATTCATTTCTTAATTTTACATAAACCGTAAAATATCTTGTAAAATATTCGTTTTTCGATTATCTTACCTTAATACTTTTATGTACAAAATAATGAGAGGAATCAATTGGTGTAAAGAAAACACATAGTTGTTCCAAAGAAAAAATATGTAATTGTTAATTGGAAATTACATATTTTTTTTATGTAATTTGGTTTATGTAAAATTACGAAATGATTTCAAGCCTCATAACTTGAAAAGTACTCAATGAAGAAATGCTTCATTATAGTGTTTTGGAAAGCTCTCGAGATAAGCTACACGAATATGTAATAAAAAATAGCGGGTTCCATTTAAGAAATTGAAGGTAACCTTTATGTCACCTTCAAATGACTCCAAGGTCAAATCATTGCCACTATCCGATGGCCCCCTTCAAGCCATACAACTTTTGTTCGAAATATTTCTTTCTAAAGTGCATAGTTTATGAAATATTCGACCGATCCGGGACTTTTGGGACTGTATATAATTTCTTTTCAAATGCATGAATGTATAAATACACATTTATATGTGGTTCAGTTTATATACTATTTCAAAACTAAAATTTTAACAATGAATAATTAACAGTATTAACAATGAACAGATCTTCTGACAAAATAAAAATATGCCATACCAATATACTGGTAATATTTTATATTTACCTATGAATTAAAAGTCCAATTAGGAAAGGTGCAGGCGGTAAAATAATTTTTTGTAAACATTGTAATGTTTGACGAATAAAAAGAAATCCCGAATGTTCACGTGAACCCAACAGATTATTACCTTGATATACCGAGAATCCGAGTTCTGTTATTGTATTACCTACGAGAGAATGAAAGAATAACTTATTGCAATGCAAATAGAATACAAAAATATTGTTATTATTGAGATATTGCATAAATTTATATAATCGATGTAAGATATATAAGATATGTTAAGTTACCTTTAATAGCTTCAAAATATAGTTGATTGATATAAATGAGAAGATCCCTTGGAATTCGCGTTTCATCCGGTAAAATTTCAACTAATAAAATAACTTCGTCTTGGCCAACGCAAGCAAGACCTCTCGATGTCACATTCCAACAGATCTTATTTACACAGCAGTTTACTAAAAATTGTAAATGTAAAATCTCCTACTAAAATGAAACGAATAAAAATTTTATTCGAATAAATCTGATTTTTACTTACGATTAATTATTTTCACATACGCATAGAGATTCCGATTAATCGCGAACATTACCGGTGATTCGCATTCATTTTTTAAAGTCTTATAAAGTACGCTTTCATCCATAGATGGATAGTATGTAATTTCTGTTCATGGAAAAGAAAAGAAAGCGATATTAAAATATATTATTGTGAGAGAGAGAGAGAAATTAAAAATTTTTCATACAATATAACATCCTTACGGCCTTTGTGTATAGTGACGTTCGGGGGCAACAAATTAGGATCATGCGGTATATAACTGTTAGTCATATTGTCTAGAAGAGGATGACTCTGTTTCCTCGTCGCAGGGTCTGTCAACGTGGATCCCGATGCAAACATCCGTTTGTTTCCTTGCTTGCGATACGATGGCTTCAGATCCCAACATGTGTCTAGCTCTGTCAGGTCACAGCCAGGCCTTATTCCTGTGTTTTAGTTATAGGTGCGTAAAAATAAAACGAACAGGAAGGGTTGGGGGTTGACAAACGTGACGACACGTTCCAGGTAGAAATAAATAACTTTGTATTGGATGTACTGGATGAAGGAATAACAAACTCAAAAGGAAAACCAAACTTAAAATATAATGTGACGGGAAAAAATAATTTATATGATTTAAGATATATAATTGTATAACACATTTTTTTACACCCACACCCACATGCCTATATCGACATTCACATTCACCATATACTCGTATACACATACACGAAAAATATTTTATGCGCACACACACACACACACACACATACACACATATATACACAGGGTGTCCCAAAAGTCCCGGACCGGTCGAATATTTCATAAACTATGCACTTTAGAAAGAAATGTTTCAGAAAAAAGTTGTATGGCTTGAAGGGGGCCATCAGATAGTGCCAATGATTTGATCTTGAAGAGTCATTTGAAGGTGACGTAAAGGTCACCTTCAATTTCTTAAATGGAACTTCCTATTTTTTATTACGTATTTGTGTAGCTTATCTCGAGAGCTTTCCAAAACACTATAATAGAGTATTTCTTCATTCAGTACTTTTCAAGTTATGAGGCTTGAAATCATTTCTTAATTTTGCATAAACCATAAAATATCTAGTAAAATATTCATTTTTCGATTATCTTGCCTTAATACTTTTATGTATAAAATAATGAGAGGAATCAATTGGTGTAAAGAAAACACATAGTTGTTTCGAAGAAAAAATATGTAATTGTTAATTGCAAATTACATATTTTTTTTTATGTAATTTGGTTTATGTAAAATTACGAAATGATTTCAAGTCTCATAACACGGAAAGTACTTAATGAAAATTAACTTGATTATTGTGTTTTGAAAAAGGCCTGAAGAAGGGCTACAAGAATATGTAATAAAAAATAAGGAACCCCATTAAAAAAATTCTAGCTGACCTTGCTTTGGCCTTGGCGACGTCACCCAAGGTTAAACTCATAGCGCCAGTAAATCGATCTTTTGAAATTCTACAACTTTTATCTAAAACACTTTTTTCTGAAATGCTTAATTTTCGAGATATTTCACCGTCCCCGTACTTTTTATACACTGTGTGTGTATATATATATATACATACACAGGGTATCTGCGACTACCTATACATTCCTTTTCTTTCAAAAACTAAGCATTTTTGAGAAAAACGTTTTAGACAAAAATTGATTTTGAGGGAAATATAAGATGGTGTCATTGATTACACCCTCAATAGTCGTTTGAAGGTCACGTAAAAGTCACTTTTAATTTCTTAAATGGGATTCCCTACTTCTCATTGCATATTCTTATAGCTTATCTCAAAAGCTTTCCAAAAAACTATAATTAAATATTTTTTCAATAAGTACTTTTCGAATTATAAGGCTTAAAAATGACAATATTTTGACAAAATATTTTGTTAAATATTTATTTTTCGAATTCTTTACTTTTGAATTTTGCACAAATAATACAAATTAAATAATGTAAAGAAAACACATAATTGTTTTTAAAAAAAACTTGTAACTTGCTATTGTATATACATCCCGAACCGTGAGATATAATAAGCAGTTATACAACAAGTTTTTCTTTAAAACAATTATGTGTTTTCTTCACATTAATTGATTCGTATAGTTTGTAAATATCAAAAGTAAGGAATTCAAAAAATAAATATTTAACAAAATATTTTGTCAAAATACTGTTACTTTCAAACGTTATAACTCGAAAAGTACTTAATGAAAAAATATTTAACTATAGTGTTTTGGAAAGCTTGAGATGAGCTACAACAATATGCAATGAAAAATCCCATTTAAAAATTGAGTGATCTTTAAACGACTATTGACCGTGTAACGAGGGTGGTTAGACCAATGACACCATCTTATGTTCATCTCAAAACCATATAATTTTTGTCTAAAATGTTTTTCTCAAAAATGCTTAGTTTTTGAAGAAAAAGGATGTATGGGTGGTTTCAGACACCCTGTATGTGTGTGTGTGTATACAGGGTGTGTGTATACAAAAGTCCGGACCGGTCGAATATTTCAAAAACTATGCACTTTAGAAAGAAATGTTTCAGACAAAAGTTGTACGGCTTGAAGGGGACCATCAGATAGTGGCAATGATTTGACATGGAAGAGTCATTTGAAAGTCACGAGAAGATCAATTTCTTAAATGGAACTCCCTATTTTTTATTAAATATTCTGCTCACGTCGAGAGCTTTTCTAAACACTATAATAAAGTATTTCTTCATTGAGTACTTTTCGAGTTATGAGGATGGAAATCATTTCTTAATTTCACATAAACCGTAAAATATCTTGTAAAATATTCATTTTTCGATTATCTTACCTTAATACTTTTATGTACAAAATAATGAGAGGAATCAATTGGTGTAAAGAAAAAACATAGTTGTTTTTAAGAAAAAAATATGTAATTTGCAATTAACAATTACATATTTTTTTTTAACTCAATAAAGAAATTTTACTCAATGAAGAAATATTTTATTATAGTGTTTTGGAAAGCTCTCGAGATAAGCTACACGAATAAAAAATAGGGAGTTCCATTTAAGAAATTGACAGTGATCTTTACATCACCTTCAAATGACTCTCCAAGGTCAAATTATTGCCACTATCTAATGGCCCCCTTCAAGCCATACAACTTTTGTCTGAAACTTTTCTTTCTAAAGTGCATAGTTTATGAAATATTCGACCGGTCCGGGACTTTTGGGACACTCTGTATAACTTGATACTAGGCGCGCGGCGCTTCAACGTTTGATGAATGCCTCACCCATCGCTTCGCTGCGCGTCTAGTATGAAGTTATAGTGGAATGGCCTTTCTTGCCGTGCGCTTCTATTCACGCGAATTGGCTGATTATTTTTAATTAATATCTCGAAATTTTACGTGGTTGTTTGCAAAATGATAAAAGACTTTTTAATTCAGTTTTACGAGATCTACTTTTTTTTAACACACAGAATAGGACGGATACCCTGTATATAGAAGATTCTATTTAAAAAAAAATTAAATTGATCTTCAAATGGTCTCAATGGTACTTACACTCAACGTCAAATTAATATTTTTATCTTTTACTCCCTTCGAATTCAATAACATTTATTTAAAAAATTTTTTATACAACGCCATGATTCTAAGATTTTTGAGTGGACATTTTAAACGGGAACACTGTGTCCTGTATGTGTACATGTGTATAATATTTAACACATTGTACGACACGAAAAATTATGTTTTCATGAATTTATAATTGTGACCAATGCAATGTGTATAAATGTACAATATATATTAAACAATTTAAATTGTATATATTTAATAGCATTTTAAAATTATGACATATAATAATTAAAAAAAAAAAAAAAAAAAAGATGGATGAAAACTAATACTTAATAACATTAACATCTACATACCGTCACTGAACATTACAGATTTCTGTCCTTCTGTACGATGTTTCGAACCTTCTCTCTTTAGAACGCCCACAGGTACCATCACTGTTGGTGGTGGTGGTAAACCGCCAGCTAACTGTTGTAAGGGTGGTATAGTAGAGCAGTACTCCATAGGATTATTTGGATTAGGCTGTCTCCCCTATAACCATTTGTTGAATACTTCTAACATCGACATTCTCAATCGTTTAATTATAAACACATTTATTTAATTAAATATATAAATAATAAATATGATTTTTACAAATTTATAATTTGTAATTAATAGTTTGTATACTAAATAATAATTTCTAATGATAATCAATAAAATAAATATAAAAATTATTTTCTCAAATAATGATTAATTTTTGAACATTTTTAAAGTAATGTTATTAAAAAAATTCTATTATTTTATTAAAAGCGTTGATGTTTTTTATCCATATCTTTTATAAATCATTTATAACATAATTTTTATCATTAATATATAGAAGAAAAAGAATCAGTAAATTCAATAAAAATCAATTTAAAAAATATATACAGGGTGTCCTAGACCACCAGTACACCCCTTTTCTTTCAAAAACTAAGTATTTTAGAGAAAAACGTTTTCGACAAAAATTGTATGGTTTTGAGGAACATAAGATAGTGTCATTGGTTTGACCTTGGATGGCATCGTTAAGGTCAGGTCAAGGACACCTTTAATTTCTTAAACGGAACTATCTATTTTTTATTGCATATTCTTGTAGCTTATGTCGAGAACTTTCCAAAACACTATAATAAAGTATTTTTTCATTAAGTACTTTTCGATTTATGAGGCTTAAAATAATATCTTAATTTTATATAAACTATAAAATATCTAGTAAAATATTTATTTTTCGATTATATTACCTTAATACTTTTATGTACAAAATAATGAGAGGAATCAATTGGTGTAAAGAAATCACGCAGTTGTTTTTAAGAAAAAATATGTAATTGTTAATTGCAAATTACATATTTTTTCTTAAAAACAACTGCGTGATTTCTTTACACCAATTGATTCCTCTCATTATTTTGTACATAAAAGGGTTAAGGTAAGATAATAAAAAAATGAATATTTTACTAGATATTTTATGGTTTATGTAAAATTGACAAATTATTTCAAGCCTTATAACTCGAAAAGTACTCAATGAAAAAATACTTTATTATAGTGTTTTGAAAAGCTCTCGACATAAGCTATAAGAATATGCAATAAAAAATATGTAGTTCCATTTAACAAATTAAAGGTATCCTTGACCTGACCTTAACGATGCCATCCAAGGTCAAACCATCTTATGTTCCCCTCAAAACCATACAATTTTTGTCAAAAACGTTTTTCTCTAAAATGCTTAGTTTTTGAAAGAAAGGGGATGTACGGGTGGTTTAGGACCCTGTACATATATAGGGTGTTTCAGATCACCCGTATCATCCATTTTAAAACTAGATATGGTTATTTCAAAAAAGTAAAAATATTTTCTTTATAAATCGGGTGCGCTCTATCGAATGGTGATATTTTCAACTTCTGGTTCCGGTCGGAAATAGGCGATTCAGACCGGAAGTGCATTTTTTTAAATGGAACCCCCTATTTTTCATTGCATATTCTTGTAGCTTACCTCGAGAGCTTTCCAAAACACTATAATAAATTATTTTTCCATGAAGCACTTTTCGGAGTTATGAAGCTTGAAATCATTTCTTAATTTTACATAAACCATAAAATATCTTGTAAAATATTCATTTTTCGATTATCTTACTTTAATACTTTTATGTACAAAATAATGAGAGGGATCAATTGATGTAAAGAAAACATACAGTTGTTTTCTTTACACCAATTGATTCCTCTCATTATTTTGTACATAAAAGTATTAAGATAAGATAATCGAAAAATGAATTTTACAAGATATTATATGGTTTATATAAAATTAAGAAATGATTTCAGGCCTCATAACTCGAAAAGTACTTCATGGAAAAATAATTTGTTATAGTGTTTTGAAAAGCTCTCGAGATAAGCTACAAGAATATGCAATGAAAAATATGGAGGAGTTCCATTTAAAAAATGCACTTCCGGTCTGAATCGCCTATTTCCGGCCGGAACCAGAAGTTGAAAATATCACCATTCGATAGAGCGCACCCGATTTATAAAGAAAATGTTTTTACTTTTTTGAAGTAAGCACTTCTCTAGTTTTTAAATGGGTGGTACATGTGGTCTGAAACACCCTGTATATATAAAAATTTTAAAAAAACTTTAAATATTTTAAATTTCTAGCTGTTATAAGTACCATTTTTTTTAGTATTTATTGTATCACAATCAGATTTTATTATTGCAGATTAGACTTAATTATATAGAGTATTTCATTTTAATTAAAAATTCAATCGAAATTGGCAAATTAGAGCCATAGCGCAGTAATTGGAGTGCAGGAAAGAAACAACACTTCTTTCTTTCTTACTGGTACATTTTAAATTAAAAATGATTACATTAATTATGATTTACATTAAAAAACGAACGTATCATCTTTTAATCCCTCTTCAGCGCAATGTTAACAACAAATATTTATTTTATTACAAATTATTATACGATGTAATGTATTTTTTATTCTCGACGCGTGTCGTTAAATTGTATTCCGCGGAGATCTGGTAAGCACATTGTTTCCAATAATTTTTCAAATTATTACAATTGTACTGTGCTAATGTATTAAGTAACAGCAGATTAAATTCCATACTTTTTGCAATTGATAACGGTATGTCGTTATGTATCTCTCATGTTGGTTTCAGATTCAATAATGAAATCATTTACATCGAGGGTAGAAATTTTTATAATTTAAGCGTCATCATAATAATTTGTAATACATATTGTTAACATTGCGCTGAAGAGGGATCAAAAGATATGTCCATTTTTTGTTAATGTAATCATTTTTAATTTGAAATACATGAATAATTAGAAAGAAGAAAGTGTTGTTTCTTCCCTGCGCTCGAATTACCGTGCTATGGCTGGCTCTAATTTGCCAATTTCGATTTAATTTTTAATTATTATGATTTAAACCAAATTTTAATTTATTTAATTCATTTTAATAAAACAAATGTTTTCTAACAAGCAAAAAGCAAAGACAAGTAGATATTGTGTCATGCAATTGGTTACTAAATAAAAAATTTCTAAATTAATTAAAGTGAGATATCAAAAATTTGATTCAATAATCAGATTACGTAACATTATATACTTGTTTGCTAAATCGTAAATATAATCGCAATTTAAATATAAAGCAAATTATATTTTATCAATTCTAACACATCCTTTATTCTCATAATATATTCTCATATACAGAGTGTCAGGGAAATTTTGACGGTCCCGAAGTGTGAAAGTGGATTGGCTCAAATTAAGAAGGAAGGTACTATACTATTTTGCGATAATTAACTATTTCACAATAATTAACAAAAAATTAATTAAAGAAGATCGGCCAATGCGCGTGGCTAGAAGCACACGACTCTTGTTTAATTAATTTTTCCATAATTATTGCGAATATCGCAAAATATTATAGTACCTTCCTTCTTAATTTGAGCCAATCTACCTTCACACTTCGGGTCCGTCAAAATTTCCCTGACACCCTGTATATTCTTTTATCTATATTCTTTTAAAAGCTGAGGAATCATAAAAAATCATATTCTTATAACTTATTGCAAATAGTTTATAGTAATATAGTTTATAATGATATTTATTAAACATATAATCATTTAACCTTTTCGTATCTCCGGCTTTCCCAAAAAAGAGATGCGTTTCAAGATATGAAGACAGTTTTATAGATTTTTGAGGGTGCCGATTCTAAATTTAGCATCAAAATTAAACTAAACTACCATTAAACTTTAACTACCAATTAAATTAAACTACCATTTAAATTTAAAATGGCAGATTCAAGATGGCGATTATGGAAAGCTTAAATATCAATATATTGAAAATATAAGCTTAGATTTTATTTTTTTAAATATATATTGTTTTTCTCCGAATATACACACACACGTTCGACTCGTAGCGTTGTTATACACTTTCTTTTGCAAGCCGCGATACTTGAATGCGTCGTCTTACTTTGATTACACATATATGGTAAATTATTATATTTATCATAATAGAGTTGTAATCACATTTAAATAAAAAACTTTAAGTTTATAATTAGCGCATAAATGATATGATTCTTCAATTAATATGCGGTTAACCTTCATTCCCTAAGAGCTTGATTTTTTGCAAAGTTTAGTAGATAATTATATTTTACTGTAAACATTACATTTTAAAGTGCGCGATTTTTTTACATGTAGCTTGAACTTTCTTCTTTAAAACAAGTCAAGATAGAAGTCGATAGGTTTATTTATTTAAAAGTTATTTTTTTCGTGGGACATATATGTCCCGGAGATACGTACAGGTTAAAAAAGGAGTTTATATGAAAAAAGTGGCTTCGGTCAAATTGGCTGAAATTGAAATATGTTGTAGTGGTGCTGATCAAAAGTTTCTTCGGGCAAAAAATACGAAAATCAAAAGTATAAAAGATTTGAAGTAAGTGGTATTGAAGTTAAAAAACGCGTTTTTGAATACATATAAATTAAATTCATATATAAATGTTTGGAAAAATATATATATATATATATATATATATACAGGGTGGCCCATTTTAATCCATCCAGTCGAATATCTCGAAAACCAAGCCTGGGAGAGAAAAATGTTTCAGACAAAAGTTGTTTGATTTCGAGCGGACCATAAGAGGGTACCATTGGTTTGACCTTGAAGAGTCATTTGAAGGTCATGCGAAGGTTACTTCAGTTTTTTTTAAATGGAACACCCTATATATTTTTGCATATTCTTGTAGCTCATCTCGAGATTCCAAAACACTATAATAAAGTATTTCTTCGTCGAGCACTTTTCGAGTTATGAGACTTGAAATAATTTCTTAATTTTACATAAACTATAAAATATCTATAATAATTAATATTTCTATTATTATTGCAAAAATCGTTACATGGAATAGGATTTCTTTATTTAATTTACTACACTCTACGTCCTCACAAGTGCGTGAGATAATGCTACGGGACACCCTATATATTTTTCAAACATTTATATATTAATTTAATCCATGTATTCAAAAACATTTTTTAAACTTTGATATCACCCACATCAAATCATTATATCTTTTATACTTTAGATTTTGAAATTTTTGCCCAAGGAAACTTTTGATCAGCATCACTTAAACTACAATATATTTCAATTTTAGCCAATTTGACCGAAGCCACTTTTTTCATATAAATGTGCAAAGTCCTTTCCTTTTCCTGTATTTAAAAAATTTGGAATTTTAAACATCTGTTCAATTTCTTAGTATTACAAAAATGTCTTGACAAAATATTTGGTATACAATATATTTTAGTATACAAAAATACTCAAAAAATATTTATCAATAATTACATATTAGATAAGCGTTTCAATGAGGCTTTTTTCTCTTGCTTTTTCACATTTGCAATATATTATAATTATTTGCAATATATATTTGATATCTTTAAAACAAATTTTTTATTTTTCATGATAATATATTCTTATTTATATAAGAATTAGAAATCTAAGAAACTGTCTCATTCCTCCAATGTAAATGTATCATTATATGTAATATTATTATATTATAAATAATTTTATATAATATTATTATGTCATAAATATTATTATAAAATATTATATCATAAAGAAATCTTCCTTTTTCATGTTAAAACTAAAATATAATATTAATTTATATCTATGTATTAATAGTCTATTATAAGAATGAATATGAAATATTCATTAATTTAATTTACTCTCTTTTTATATAGCTAAATCATTTATATAGTAAAGCATGAAACTTAAAAAAAAATAGAAGTATTCAACAAATTCTTATAGGATTTGATCAGACTTATATTAATATTTTTATAATGATTCAAAAGCTAGTATTTTATTAGATGAGTATATCTGTAGTTTATTTTCAATAGATAAAATTATATTATAGATAAAATTATATATATATATATATATATATATATATATATGTAAATGTATAACTTATTTTCTTAAATTTTATCAAAATAAATATTCTCAAAAAGATATTCAATATATTAGTTTTCATTACATTGTTAATGAAAAAAAATCATCTCATAAATATACCTGTGAGGGATTGGCATCACTAGAATCTGCATATGAATTATAATTAGTTGACCAATTATAACTAGTTCCCTGCTCGTTCTCAGCTAAAAGGGCAAATATATATAATATATAAGAATTTTTTTTGTATAACATAAATTCATTACTTTTGGATCACACAACAATAAGAAAAAATTATTATAAGATATATATTTCTTATTAACAAGACTATTTTTTACCTTTTATGAGTAAATGATAACACGGAACGCAAACGCGAGAATCGATATTTCCTTGATATTCCAATCTATATTTCATATTACAACATTTGTTACATAATACCTGTGAAATGTATTTCAAATAAACACTTAATTATTATAAAAAAATCAGTATGAATTATAATTAAAAAACTGGCAGAGCCAGTTAATAAAAATAAATAATATTACTTAGTATTTCAATAAGTATATGCTAAACTGATTTTTTTTCAGCCTTTTTAGCTATTTTTTTACATACCTTACCACAAGCCCGACAATGATGACGTCTTTTAAGTACGGTAAACTTAATATCGCATAACATACAACTAGCTGCATCGCTATCTGGAACCCAAAATGGAGGTTGCTTTCCCAATATGGTATTACATTCGACTAAGGAATTATCAGAAACATCCGATGAAGCACCTCGATCTTCATCAATGCCTCCGATATTTGAATGTTCCTGTTCCGCTGGTGTAGCACTTGGAGATCCTATTATAATAATTCTAATTATAATCATTTTATATATATATATATATATATATATATATATATATTTTTTTTTTTTTTTAACTTAAATATAATTAAGCACCAATCCAAATATAAATGGCACAATGAAAATATAAAACTATAATAATATATAATAAAATAATATAATAAACAACACAATGAGTATATGAAATAATATAATAAACGACACAATGAGTATATGAAAACTAAAATTTTTCAACAACATACCAAGAATATGGCAGTCGTTTTTATTATGTGTCGAAATAATATCCAATGTCTGAGGACGAGTTGGTTTTTCGCTTTCCTGATTATTTTCATTTGTATAAGAGATTGTACAAGCATCGGTAATTTTAGCAATTTCCATCTTAGGAACCAAATCACTATCATATGTTTTATTATCATTTAATGTAACAATATCTTTACTCTCTTCGCTAATATCTTGATGGTACACTCTTGATTGTATCTCATTATAATCTTTATTGTCTGATAAATTTTCTACAACACCACTATTGTTACTCAGTAATTGCATATCTTTATTGATATCTTGTAATTTCTGTATATTATCTTGTTGATTATCCTGTTCTTTAACATTTTCAAATTTTGATGTGACTTTTACTTCAACAGCACTCGATACAGACTGCAAAGTATTTTCTGGTATTACTATCTCTTGATTAATAGCCTCAATTATATCCTTATCTTTTATAATTTTATCCAGTTCATTTTGTCTGTCTGAATTATTGTTTTCATGTAAAGCAATTTTTATTGTATCATTACATTCTACATTTGTTATATTTTCATTATGTACATCTATGTAATCAATTACAGAAAATTTTTTTACTTTCTCTTGAACATCATCTTCAGATATTTTTGAATATTCATCAATCATAATTTTTTCAAATAGCGGTGCTTCATTAATGTCATCTTGCTGACATTGACTCGCAGTATTTTCTTTTATTTCATCTTGTGTTTTTAGCGACCAAATATCATCTGTATGTAATATATCTTCTGTTTTAAACTTTTCTTCTTTTTCCAACTCTAACAAATATTGATTTAGTTTCTCCTCGGAAAAGTCATCACTAGTATCAATTGTATGCAACATATTAGATAAGATATTGCAGCTCTTGGTCGTTTCCACATTTTCATTATGATCTTCGCTGTTCTTTAGACTTGTATCTAATTTGATAGCATTTTCTAATACAGCATTGCTTTCCTTACTTTCAATAAATACACATTTATCAATAAAATTTTGATCCTTTAAGTCTAGATGCTTTTGTTCGCTAGGAATACTTTTATAAATTTCTTCAAATATACCATCATTAATCAAATCTTCTTCATTAATATCAGTTTTAAACATTTCCGTACTTGTGGTAATATTATCATGTTCATTTTTTGAAACACTTGTATTTGGTACAAAGATTGTAGCATTGCTATTAGCAATTAGTTTTTCCGACTGTATCAGTGTAGAATTTTGCGATATAACATTTTGCATCGCATTATCCTGTTTGTTATCTATTTCTACTTCTACAAATGTACTTGCTTCCGTTGGTAAGATATTTTTACAATCCAGGATATTCTTATCAGTTACATCCACTATGTCTTTTTTCTTTGGAATTGTATATTTATTAGTTACTATATCCTTAGTCAATATAAAATCTTTTTCCATTATGTTACCCATGGACATTTTAGGTAGATCATCTAACATAGGCTGAACATAACTTAAACTTCCAGTCGGAGCATTAATATATTCATTCAAACTATTAAACACATTGCTAATACTAGGCTTGAAACTTGGTTGATTTAACTTTTTATCATATCTGTTACTATCCTTTGAATCATTACTTCCATTCTGTTGTTTCTGTATTAAATTACCTGATATATCATTGTATATTGTTAAAGACATTTGATCAGAAGTATCGGTACGAACGCATGATTTCTGTTCCGACTTGTCATCGGCATCATATGTGTAAAAATTGTTTATAGAATCTTTACTGTCCGCTACACTCTTTTCAGTTAATGAATATCTGCAATCGGCATCTATCGATCTAGTGTCTCTGTGTTTCTCTAGAGATGGCAAAGGATCAATAGCTATACTTTTTCCAGAATTAATATTGTATATTTTCGGAGGCACACATTCAATAGTATGCTTATCCGTAGCTGATACGTTAATTGTAGAAGTTGCTACCGATGCTACTTGTTCCGCACAATCTGCAAATATCATGCACACTTAATAATTTTATATTACAACATATGTATATATAAAATAAAAACTAATAAAAATTCATAAGCTTTGCAACATATTTTTTCTTATCTTCTTATATTTGTACATCTCTGGTAGAAATAATTACTTTTCAAAAATTTTGTAAAAATTAAAATTCTCTACGACGTAATTATAATTTCTTAAATTGTCTCTATATTATTTTCATATCAAATTATGATTGACGAGCTATGTTTCTCATAAATTTACATAGAAAGTTATTATTTTTTACAACATTACAAGGTTTATATATATAGTTATAATTTTTAATCTACAACTTCTATAACTTATTATCGATCATAAAATGCTCGTATAAATTTTTAAAAATTTATAAGTATTTTTTATAACTTAACATGAATTTCTACAATTTTTACAAATTTATAGAATATAGATTGTGATTTGTTATTGAAAATATTAATTTTTCTATAATTAAATATTAATTTTTGTATAAATACATAAATTGTAAAATTATTTCCATCCAGGAATCTCTCTTTCTTCTTTAATAATAATTTTATATGATAAAAATCTATTTCTCTTAATTATAATCTAGAAATTAAAAGATAAAAGTATCTACAGTAAAGACTTGTAATTGACTTGAAAATTGTTTACCTTCGTTGAATTCGAAATCATTGAGAACTTTATCCAAGTCAATCACAAACTTCTCCATAATGTCACATCAATTGAGGTTTTTACTATACAAATTTATTAAGCAGTTCTATACATACTCGGTATCCATAACCATATATGCACGATTGAATCAATATTAATAATCTTCTAATTAAAAATATGGTTTATATTTGAGGCATAATATCAATATAATGTAATCGGTATTATTTACATTTCAATATAAATGTGTTTAAAATATCGATGGATCAGAGAATCGTTAACACTATGCGCCTCAATTTTTCAACGAAAAACGAAAAACAAATTGTACAACCAATGTAAGTGTAAAACGCATGTACGTTTTATTCACGATTGCTACACTAATAATTGCAGCAGTAACTTCTGACACTTCTATCGTAAAATCCAACACGTAACAGATTTGAAATCACACATCGATATGTTATTTCAAACGACGTCTTATTACATATGGTTCTACATGACAAAATTGTCACTTTATACGAATAAAATAGAACAGAATAGATAAAGAACATTTGCGCAGTAGTATGCGTTAATATTCAATAGTGTGTGTATTTTAAGTCTGTATGTACGTATCGTACACATAGATGTAGTGCGTATATATGGATTGTATCTGCGCGCGCGCGTAATGTATGTGTGCACTTTTTATCGAAATAGTGTCTTTAAAAGTGGCTTATAAGCCTTCATAATTGTTATTTTAAAATCTTAATAAATGTCCTAGGTTTTTTCGTTGAGGAAAATTTTTCTTTTCTATATTCTATAGCCATTTCTAAATCTATCTAACGTTTCCGCTATCGAGTAAAATTTTCCTCAAAGATGATGTTTTGGAATGTAACTTTTTAAGATGTTAATACGGCTTTTGTGATTTATTTTTAACATTTAAAGATTGTATTTAATAGGTTTGTTAATTTTACCTACACTTTCTCCACTTTTGTAGAAAGTGTACACTATCACGGTTCTTTTAGAAGAAGTGACGTCAGAGTACGCTGTTCGTTTGCGAGCGTTTGTAGCTATAGGTTTGTTCGCGTCGCATGCTCCAATGTACTCCAGAGAGCACTTAGGCCCCGTTCCACAATCCAGTTAATCCGAGTTTAAGTAGTGAATGGACCAATCAGGACCCAGTTTAACGTATTAAACTCCGATTAATTCGAGTTGTGGAACCGGGCCTAATACGTTAAACTGGGTCCTGATTGGTCCATTCACTACTTAAACTGAGTCCTGATTGGTCCATTCACTACTTAAACTCGGATTAACAGGATTGTGAAACTGGGCCTTAGGCCCGTTCCAACAGTGGCCAGTTAGCTTAACTAGTAGTTAAGTAGTGATGCCAACCACTGAAACAAAATTCGGTAAGCTAGGTTAGATTTTGACAAGTTGCATTTTCTCAAAATATACATAAGTGAAATATTGAAAATTTATAAATTTTATAAATAAATGTATATATATTTTCAATATTTCACTTATGTATATTTTGCGAAAATGCAACTTGTCAAGATCTAACCTAGCTTACCGAATTTTGTTTCAGTGGTTGGCATCACTACTTAACTACTAGTTAAGCTAACTGGGCACTGTTGGAACGGGCCTTAAGCGTCGTCTACAATAGATGGAGAAGCAGCAAGCAGCAACCCAATTAGCAAGGCAATAGGTGATTTCCATTTAGTGACACAAGTCGACACAAGCATCATTCTATCTTTTTTCAATGAATACAATAAACAAAGATAGAATGACACTTGTGTCGACTTGTGTCGCTAAATGGAAAGCACCCGATATCAGCAGTGGCATAGAAAATATCGCTTTGCTGATTGGTTACTGCTCGTTGCTTGACGCGTCCTGTCTGCACCAGGCTTTATTCCTCACTTGAGGATTTCTAAGGCTGAAATCACATGGTGCGGAATAAAAGTGCGGAATAGAGAGTGCGTCATAGAAACAGCCAATCAGAGCTTTGCTGCAGTGTTTACGATTTTTCCTGCATGCGTTCGTGGCGTCATTGTGTCATGAGTCATAGAATTTGTAGCCATAATCTTAGGCCGGTATTCATAGTCCGATCTTATATTTAAGATCGTCTTAAGTCTGGTCCGAGGTTGACTTAAGACCTCCTTCAACCAATCAAATAGCTGCGTAGCATTTCAAGCTCGAACTTAAGACGATCTCAAATATAAGATCGGACTATGAATACCGGTCTTAGTAATATTTATACTTTTTTTTATACTCATTAAAACTTTAATAGACTCTTCAACCATCATTATTTTGTTTTCCATATTCACAACCTTTATTATTTTCTAACAAAAAAAAGTTTTAGTAAAAAACGTTCAACAATACTGGCGTGTAGATGACCGAGGCTGCATCACGCATTCCGCAAGTTTTGCCCCCCCCCTCCCCCTGTGCACATGGTGCAGAAAAATGATCAAAAATGCGTCAATGCCGTTTAAAAATTTAAAAATATTGTTTTCAACTTTTTAATATTCAATACAAAATTACATATAATATTATATTAATGATTATTATTGCTATTAAAAATATTATATTTTATAAAAACGTTTAAATTATTTTAATAAAAGTTTTATTACATCTATTATTTTCATTCCGGATGCGTCATTACCCGCCTATGACGCACCATGTGCACAGGGCGGTCAGACATTTGCGGAATGTGTTGGCAAAGCTCTGATTGGCTGTTTTTATGACGCACTCTCTATTCCGCACTTCTATTCGCACCATGTGATTTCAGCCTAACTTCAAAGTATTCTTAAGCCTGCGACACACCGTACGATTTTTCGTACTAAATCGCATGTGAGCGTCTTAAGCCTGTGTCACACTACGTATTGCGGACATGGATTGGATTGGCATTGCGGATCGCGGATCAGAATTCAACCGATCAAGATGAGGCAGCCTCATCTTGATTGGTTGAATTCTGATCCAGGATCCGCAATGCCAATCCCATGGACGTAAGAAATACTGACAGAGGCCGGTATTCATAGTCCGATCTTATATTTAAGATCGTCTTAAATCTGCTTCGAGATTGACTTAAGACCTCATTCAACCAATCAAATAGCTGCGTAGCATTTCAAGCTCGAACTTAAGATGATCTTAAATATAAGATCGGACTATGAATACCGGCCAGAGTGTATTGCTGCGGGAGTGAAGCTCAAAGAGTGAGGGGAAAGAAATGTCTACTGCAACGGAATATGATGTAAGATGGCGACGGATATTAATTTCACGGAGTGTGATATTTTTGAATTTCTTAATATTCAGAAATGATTTGGAATGACACAGCGATTTCAGATGATATATTATTTCACGGAATCTCTCATATTTTATTCGATTTACGTCCGTGCGACGTGAAAATATGAATGCTAAATCTGAGGCATCTAAAATGGCCGCGACAATAAATCCCTTACCTCTCGTCTAAAATAGGGATGGGCGATGTTTATCGATTAATCGCAATGGTCGATAGTTTTTTTTCTAATAATCGATTAATCGGTTCGATATTTTCTTTATCCGATGTATCGATGTTCGATTCTTTATGTCAGACATCGAAGTTTTATTTTTTTTCTTATCAAAATATCTCATTGTAATAAAGCGTCGTCTACAATGAGATTTTTAAAGGTAAAGATTTAATCTATAGAATATAATCTCAAAATTGTTAATATCATCTTATATTAAACTTACCAAACTTTTTTATAGTGATTGTACAAAGAAATTCATAAAAATGCAAATTGTAATTTTACAAACCAAATATTTGCTTCCACTTACAAATTAAATAGTAATTTTATATTTAAGAAAGCTAAAAGTACTTTTCGCAATGTCAGATTTATGAATTAAAGTGTATTAGATGTATTAACTTTTGATATGGATGATTCGTGTAATTCCTCCTTAAAAAAATACTTTTTTTGAAAAATAGTCGATTCATCGATTCTTTTTGTTAATAATCGATTAATCAACATCGATATATTCAAAAATCGATTAATTTAGCATCGATTTTTTTTTCGTACATCCCTAGTCTAAAAGAGTACTTTATGCTCTGTCCTGTATTTCTTACGTCCATGGCCAATCCAATCCGCGGCCGCAATACGTAGTGTGACACGGGCTTTAATTGACCAATCGTAATTTCGATATCAAAGAATTGTCAAATCATCGTAATGCTCGCATGCAATCCAGCACGAAACAAGCATCGTGTGCCGCTGGCTTTAGTGTCTTCCCGATCACAGCCTATATATATTCTGATAAGAGTCTATGGGTAGTCTGTGGGTACGAGTTAGCGTAAATCGGGCATTGCATCCGTTTTTCGCGGAAATTTGTTCTCGACGTCAATTTCTGAAGCCTATTTATCGATTAATAAGCCGAAGATGGGCCTACTTTCTGAAGGAAGTCCTTTAAATTGGGAAGAGACGAAGAAATTGTCCGATCATGTGCGCAAACATGGGGTTATTCAATTTATTAACCTTTACAAAAGACTCAGAGATAGACAAGGAGATGTTCTCAAGTGGGGTGATGAGGTATACATTGAGTCAAAATTCAACATGATTTACAACAGGTTGCATTGGAAATGATAATATGATGATAATAATTTGCACTATTATTTTTCCTGAAAAATTGCATTCGTCATTTTGATCGTTAATCATATTGTCTTTCGATTTTTCTCTCATCGATTCGTTGCGATGGTATATCACGTGCGTCATATGTAACCAAACTGGTATAGCTATTTAAATATTTATTACAGTATCATTGAAAAATTGATCACAACTTGTACAATATTTTCCATATTTCTTGAGATTTCGCGCTGCATCATATATTGCATGCATATTATACAAATTTCTTCATGTTACATCATGTAATTATCGCATGTCATTACTACTTAATCACTTAATGATTCACAATTCATATCTGTTACACTGTCATAATTCTTTTTAACTAAGTTTTTAATCGAGATATCAATTTAGCTCGTATTTCTAGCTTTTATTCTTTATTGTTATACTTTTAATAAGATATATTTATTTCATTCTCTTTCCTTGTACAATTAAAAAAATACTTTATATTGTTATCACAAAAATAAAAAATTGCAGAAATGTTTCCAATTCAAAATTAGTAATAATTATAAATCAGATCGGTAATAGAACATTTGATTATTTGAATTCAATATTTAATACTTGAGAAAATAATATTAGAAAGATAATATTGGAAATTTCCTGTTTATTGTTTGGATTTTAAAAAGATAAATATAATATTGAAATTTCTCTCTCTCTCTCTCAAAAAAGAAAAGGGGTGAAAAAATAAAATCATTAGAGTTTTATTATCAAAACGAGACAACATTTCAAGGTTAAAAATACTAAGAAAAAAACTTATTTAAATTTGAATTAATATTGTACAAACTATTACTAAAAGATACACAACATGTAATAGTTTGCAAAATTTGATATTATACATTTGATATTATAAATATATGATTAGATCAATATTAAGATTAAAATTTGATTTTTTTGAAACAAATATTCTTATAATAATTGTAATTAATAAGCTCTCTATAAAAAATAATTAAATGGAGTGAGATTAAAGGCTTTGAGAGCTTTTTTTTAGTATTAAATAAATCAGCGATAGTTATATATTAATTCAAAATAATTACATAACATATTATAAATTCAACTAAAATAAAAACGGTAAGCATAATATAAAAGTATATATAAACAAGCTTAAATGATAAACATGTCTCGACTTGTTTTCAAGTCATCTTCAACGCAAGGGAGTAGGTTTGCAATGAGGTTTTATTAATACAAGATTAATTAATACAAGACTTTAAATATTTTAACTCTTATATTAATTGACTTATAATTCGATTGTTCCATCTACTAGATTTCAACAAGCATGCATTACATGACCTGAGAAAATGTTTACACCAACAAGTCTCTAATATTGAATTGTTTTAATTGTGGGCCTCCTAATTTGTCAACTAGCGATGGATAACCACCTTACTGCAATAACAACTTTGAAATTTATCACACCGAATGAAGAACATGTATCGCTCTTTAAGTATTCAATTCATTGTTAATATCATACAGTTATCTTAAACCTCATTGCGAACCTACTCCCTTGCGCTGAAGATGACTTGAGAACAAGTCGAAACGTCCGCACATGTTTATCATTTAAGCCTGTTTATATATATTTTTATATTATGCTTACCGGTTTTATTTTATTTAAATTTATATTATGTTATGTAATTATTTTGGATTAATATATAACTATCGTTGATTTATTTCATACTAAAAGCTCTCAAAGCCTTTGCTCTCACTCCATTTAAATATCCTTATGTTCTTATTATTCTTAAATTTCTTATATTTAGTTGTTTGAATAATTTTATAATATTTATATAAATGATATATATATATTCTTTAAAATTAAAATATAGATATGGTATTTTATATAAAGTGTTGGTATTTTATATAAGGTACTTCCTCCAAAACTTGACATCATTATAAAATGTTTTATACAAAATTTATAGGATTTCGAGAGAAAAATGTTGAAAATTTTCAATATTTAATTAAAATCCTTTTTTTAAGGTTAAATGAATGTGAATTATGTTTTTTTAAACTGAATCATCCAAATTTTTTTATACAAATTGTTTTCTCACAATATTTGACATTAAAAGTTAGAAGAATAGAATGCTCAAAAATTAAATAGCTTATGAGATATTGTGTATGTGTGTGTGTGTGTGTGTGTGTGTGTGTGTGTGTGTGTGTGTGTGTGTGTGTACACACACACACACACACACACAGGGTGTCTCATTTTAGTACATCTAGTCGAATATCTCGAAAACAAAGCCCGAGAGAGAAAAATGTTTCAGATAAAAGTTGTATGGTTTCAAGAGGGCCATAAGATGGTGTCATTAGTTTGACCTAGAAGTGTCATTTGAAGATCACGCGAAGGTCACATTAATTTTTTTAAATGGAACACCCTATATATTTTTGTATATTCTTGTAGCTCATCTCGAGATCTTTCCAAAACACTATAATAAAGTACTTCTTCGTGGAATACTTTTCGATTTATGAGACTTGAAATAATTTCTTAATTTTACATAAACCATAAAATATCTAGTAAAATATTCATTTTTCAATTATCTTACCTTAACTACTATACTTTTATGTACAAAATAATGAGAGGAATCAATTGGTGTAAAGAAAACATATAGTTGTTTTTAAGAAAAAATATGGAATTGTTAATTGCAAATTCCATATTTTTTCATAAAAAAAACTGTATGTTTTCTTTATACCAATTGATTCCTCTCATTATTTTGTACATATAAGTATTAAGGTAAGATAATTGAAAAAGGAATATTTTACTAGGCATTTTATGATTTATGTAAAATTAAGAAATGATTTCAAGCCTCATAACTCGAAAAGTACTGAATGAAGAAATGCTTTATTATAGTGTTTTGGAAAGATCTCGAGATGGGCTACAAGAATATGCAAAAATATATAGGGTGTTCCATTTAAAAAAATTGAAGTAATCTTCGCATGACCTTCAAATGACTCTTCAAGGTCAAACCAATGGTACCCTCTTATGGCACCCTTGAAACCATACAACTTTTGTCTGAAATATTTTTCTCTATCGGGCTTAGTTTTCGAGATATTCGACTGGATCAAAATGGGACACCCTGTGTGTGTATATATATATATATATATATATATATATATATATATATATATACACATACACAATGCTGCGTATTTTTTAAAAATATAACATTACTTTGTATAAAAATATCGAGGCAAAATAAAAAATAAATATTTTACAAGATATTTTAAAATTTATATCAAATTGTGTCAAATTAAAATATAAAATATCTCATTTAAATATCTCACTATTTAACTTTTAACTATTCTATTCTTATTATTTTTTATACTGAATAGTGCAAGAAATCAACATATATAAAAAAATTAAATTTGCATTTACATAATTTTGATAAATAATCTTAATTAAAATTCAATTAATTTTTTTCTAAAATTATAAATTTTAGCTGAAATTTTTTAAACTGAAATATTTTTATATGGTGTTAAGTTTTGAATATCTTGTAACACTTTATATACTGTAATACTTTATGTAAAACATCTGTATCTCGATACTTATGTGTTGTCATAAAACATGACTTTATTTATTTATTGAATGTTTGATTTGATTCAAATATTGTTATGATTTTCGATATATAAAATATTTCAAAACAATATGTTATAAACAGACATTTTTTTTGCAATCTGATTTTTTGATGTATTCTAATATTTGTTCTAGTATTTGTTTCTAATATTTGTTATTTTATATTTTGTTTTCAATTTCATTAATAAGACAGGCCTGCGAGAATAAGTTACAAAAAGCAAAGTAGATAAATCTGATAGATTTTTTGACGCTGAAAACGAATCTGGCCTCAGAACTTCCTTAGCCCATCAGGTTTCCAAATAATTTATAGTTAAATAGTCCAAAAATGGCAATTTCATGAATTTATTATGAAAGAAGCAAATTTTTTGAAATATTTCTGCCAATGATGTCGTATAATACTAGTCTTCATCTTTTCGATTACCGCTGTACGATTTTTTTTCGCTGAAATATACAAATATGAACCTAGATAGCAAAATGCTAGCAGATTGGCAGCAGATTCGATTAGAATCCCACACCAAAATCCATAGCCATCTGTGTCCGTATTAAACTCGTGTTCTGTCGGCAGAACCTGCTAACAGGCGATATGAGCAAATTGGCAACAGAAACCGCGCAAATCCTGCTAACAGGTGAGAAGATTGCATTGTGCAGACCCTGTTCAATTTCTGCGGGAGGATCCTAGTTGCGCACAGAATGAAACGGACACAACCAATCATATCGACCGATGTTTAGAGACCTATCACGGTTGATCAATAGAGAGTCCGAGAGAGTCCTGTGTCCGATTTATTCTGTGCGCAACTGGGCCTCACTCATTTCTGCCGCCAATCGAACATCAAATTGCGTTGCGCAGGTTCTGCTTGATTTCTGCTGCCAATCTGCTATGATGATTCTGTACAAATCCTTTTCGATTTCTGCTACTGACTTGTTGTCAAATTATGTCAGCAGGTTTTGCAGAATTTTCTGCCATTCTGCTTTTATTATTTAATGTAACAGGTTTTGTATACAATCTGTAGTCTTTCTGCTGACAAAAATTTGTTGTAGATGTTTAACAAAATCTGCCTGAACAGGCTTTGCTATCTGGGAAGTTATATGAAAATTTACGTTAAGGAAAATTTACAAAGGCATCAACATGGTAGATCCACTATCTCGAAATTTAAAAAAACTTACATATGTCAGGTTTGGTTGTCCAAAAAAGTCCCGTAAAATATATCTAATACAGTTACATATTTGTTACACAGTTGTTACATATTTTGATAAATTTTTCTAAATTTTACTTTTTTATTTTTGTGATTTTGTCGTTATTTTTAATTTCAAGAAATCACAGGCAACGTTCAAAAATTTATCTTTTTATCCAAATTGTGATATCAAAACAGAAAGATAATACAGTTGAATTGGAATGGCTTATTAGACCATTATGCATAACCAGTTTTATAACTTCCCACAGGAAAAAATTTATCTAATAGATATCTAATAAATATCTAAATGTCTATATGAGGTCCATATCCTCTATAGATAACTAGTAGATGTATATATATTATCCACATATCTATCCACTAAGTAGCTACCAGAGATATCCACTAGATATACACATGTTATTCATATATTTACAGTCACATATAAAAAATACGGGCCACTAAATTTTAGCACAATTTTTTAACATCTTTCAATAACAATAAATCAGCGAAAAATCATTGTATTAAGATGAAACAAAAATTCAAATTAAAACTTGAACATTTTTTTTAAAAAGCAAAAAACAAATTTGAGTTACAAAAAATATTTTACAAAATGACAGACGTTAAAGATAGTTTAAGAAATGAAAAACAATTTTTCTTTAACTGGTACAAAAATTTTACAAAAATTCTTGTTTTCTATTACAAAAATGTATGAGTTTTTAAAAAAAGCTCATTTATTTCCTAATAAATTCATATTTTAATCAATTTTCTATGATCTTTTTTGATAAAGTTATCGTTTTCACGAAAGTTTTAAATATGATCGTCTATCACTATGTGAAGCATCTTGGATCGAGTTACACTTTAATTTCTTTTTTGAAAAAGTTTTCCATGATAATTTGCTTCTGAATTACAGATTTTACAAGGAAAGTTTAATTTTGTAACATTTTCTTCAAAACGATATAACTTTATCAAAAAAAGTCATAGAAAAAATTTATTAAAATTTATTAAAATATGGATTTGTTAAGAAATAAATAGCTTAAAAACATGTTTGTACCAGGGAGCCGATTCTCCTGAGCAATGCAGCAGTTAAAAAAAATTTGTTTTCTATTTCTCAAAGTCTATCTTTAGCATTCGTCATTTTGTAAAACATTTTGTGTAACACAAATTTGATTTTTTTAGTTTTTAAGAGGATTGTTTAATTTAAGCTTTATTTCATCAATACGGTGATTTTTTGCTGATTTGTTGCTATTGAAAAATTTTGCTAAAATTTAATGGCCCGTTTTTTTTTTTTTACGTGTGAGTGTATATTCACTAAGTAGCTACCAAAGATATCCAATGGACATTATACATATACTTCCACGAGCTTTGCCGCTAGGTGGCGAAAAGGAAAGCGCCTAACCTGAGAGTGGGACTCCATCTAAGGTAATATATAGGGTGTTCCTAAAAGGTCTCGTCAAACTTTAACCATAAATGCTACGTATCAAAACAAAGCAAAATGTTCATACAAACATGGGTCGAGAAATGCCTCCCTTCTGAAATAACAAAGGATGAAGTCACGTATCTTCATAGGCCTATTTGGCTCAATCACTGTAGTAATTTGCATCAGATAAGATGTTCAAAGTGGCCACCATAAGCAGCAATAGTGAGCACGTACTTAATGTAATACGTACAGTAGTAAACTTCTTTATTGTCAGCATCCGTGGACCACAGATGCTACGCATCAAAACAAAGCAATATCTTATAGCAATAGCTTATCTGATGCAAATCATTACTATAGTGATTGAAATAGGTCTATGAAGATACGTGACTTCATCCCGTATTATCTCAGAAGGGAGGGCATTTCCGGATTCATATTTATATGGCATTTTGCTTTGTTTTGATACGTAGCATCTATGGTTAAAGTTTGACGAGACCTTTTAGGAACACCCTGTATAGCCTCCGCTATAATGACTCTCGAGTGTATCTACAATTCAATCGTACAGTTGTATCGATGATCGCTTGAGATGATTATTTCCTTATTTCCACATTATTTTCGGTCGCAAAGTAATCGTAGTCGCAGTCGCTCGAATAGGAATTGAACCTATAGGAATTCAAACGACTGCGACTACGACTGTTTTGCAATTGAAATTATCACCTCAAACGATCGATACAACTGTACGACTGAATTGTAGATACACTCGAGAGTCATTGTAGCGGAGGCTATACAGGGTGTTCCTAAAAGGTCTCGTCAAACTTTAACCATAGATGCTACGTATCAAAACAAAGCAAAATGCCATATAAATATGAATCCGGAAGTGCCCCCCCCCCTTCTGAGATAATATTAAGGCTTCCGCACAGATCCCACGAGTCACGATTTATCGATCAAAGAGCGGAGATTATTATAGTCGCATCTCCTCCGGCTTGTGCGAGAAGTTCCAAAACTCCATAAATGAACCGGTTAATTTTTTCAAAATTCCGTCATACATGTGTCTATATACAGAACATTGAATATCCATCACAAAATAAATATCAATATACATACAGGGTTTTCGAAAAGTTCGGAAACGGTCGAATATCTAAAAAATAAAGTATTCTAGAGAAAAATGTTTCAAATAAAAGTTGTTTGGTTTAAAGAGAGCTATAAAATGGTGGCAATGGTTTGACCTTGAGTAATATATTATATAATATAATAGTTTTAAAAAAAAATATGTAATTTGCAATTAACAATTACATATTTTTTCTCCAAACCAACTATGGTTTTTATTTACACTAATTGATTCCTCACATTGTTCTGTGCACAAAAATATTAAGGTAAGATAATCGAAAAATGAATATTTTACTAGATATTTTATGGTTTATGTAAAATTAAGAAATGATTTCAAGCCTCATAACTCGAAAAGTACTTAATAAAAAATACTTAATTATAGCGTTTTGGAAAGCTCTCGAGATAAGCTACAAGAATATGCGAAAATAAATAAAATATATAGAATGTTCCATTTCAGAAATTCCAGCGACTATTCAAGGTCAAACCATTGCCACCGTTTTATAGCTCTCTTTAAACCAAACAACTTTTATTTGAAACATTTTTCTCTAAAATGCTTTATTTTTTAGATATTCGACCGTTTCCGGACTTTTCGAAAACCCTGTATAATAAATGTATCTATATATAATAATCCACTGAATAAATATCCACTGAATATTGTACGGATATTTGCAGGATATTGGTTTATATATCCTCTAGAAATTTAAGAAACCTCGAATTGCGAACATTTGGATATCTACAGCATCTCTAATAATTATGTTTCATTCGTGGATATTCGTGAATATCTTCAATGCATATGAAGAATATCTAGTGGATATTCTCCAATACCATTATTTTCCGTATGGGTTGTATATATGAGCGAAAAAAAATCGTGCGACAGCAATCGAAAATGAATTTGAAAGGTGAATACTAATACTATACGATGCCATTGGCAGAAATATTTCAAACAACTGGACGTATTCTGCGACCAGATTCGCTTTCAGCATCAAAAAAATCTATCAGATTCATTTACTTTCCTTTTTGTAACTAAGCAAATCTCAAATTTCGCAGGCCTGTGTAATTATATTAAGAATTTTATTTTATATATATAGCATAATTATCTTTATATAGGTAGAGTACATGCTCATAAAATTTGATGATGATTCAAAAACTGCAAAACTCAGCTTAAGAGCTATGGAAATATTAAAAATCTTAAATGAAAAAGAAAATGAAGATCCAAAGTAAGTCCCTACATAATACATATTGATATTAAAATAATATTTTTCCTTGATTTGATATTTAATAATATACTGTAAATATATGTTAAATAAAAATTATTGAATAAGTTTCAAAATGTCAGCATGCTTCTTTGCTAATTTTAATCCTTACTTTTAATTTCACTTTTATTGACATGAAAGTGCACAACATAGAAAAAAATAGAAATTGTGATAAAGAATTCTCTCTCTCTTTCATTAAAATTTTGTTACCAAAAATTTAAAACTAAAATAAAATATAAAAAATTTTTATAAATCTCTGGAAAAGCCTGAAATCTTCCTGAAACTTCAATTTTGTTATTTTATTTATGCGATAATTGAATTTTTACAAATATCAAATTGTTACACACAAATAGACATACACACGCACGCACGCACACACACACACACACACACACACACACACACACACACACACACACACACACACACACACACACACACACATATATATATATATATATACATATACATAATTATTTTCACAGAAATGTAAAGTCACTTTGGAGACCAGAATATGGTGCTTATATGATTGAAGGAACTCCAGGAAAACCATATGGAGGATTATTAGCTCATTTTAATGTTGTTGAAGCTAACATGCGTTATCGAAGACAAGAAGCAACAAAATTATTACAACCTAATGAAGTTTTAATGTCATTAACCGTTTTTCCAAGGTAATGCTAAGCAGAATAAATCATTAAAAAATATATATGTATAATACATACATAAATATTTAGTCGTTTCATAAATTTTATTATTTCTGTTATAGAGTAGGCGCTCCTGAATTTACTGATCCTCCTGCTTATCCGGCATTCAATACTGGTGCCTCCAAGAGCTTATTTTTTCCTGATGAAGCTATATATCCTGGTCACCCACGTTTCAAAACATTGACTAGAAACATAAGAGAACGACGTGGAGAGAAAGTTGCTATAAACATTCCCAGTATGTGACAGCATTATAGATAATATTGAATACATTTTCTATTGTTTATATTATAAAATACTTGGATGAGTAAATTGTACTTGTTATTCCATGATCCAAGGATATTTTTTAGTTTACAGAGATAAAAGTGTACCATTGTTATTTAAAGAAGATCTTATCGATAAGGGAGATGATGGATCCTCCTCTAAGGCATCTAAAGATAATCACATCTACATGGATGCAATGGGCTTTGGGATGGGATGTTGTTGTTTACAACTCACTTTTCAAGCATGTAATATACAAGAAGCAAGAACATTATATGATCAATTGACACCTTTATGTCCAATTATGGTTAGTATTAAATAATTTTTTTGTTTATACTAATGTACTGTCAGAATGTTTTTCCATGCATACGTTACAGAACATTTGTTTAACATTCGACAGTTAGCTTTAACTGCAGCTAGTCCATTTTATCGCGGTTATATAAGTGATGTTGATTGTCGATGGAGCGTCATATCTTCATCAGTGGACTGCAGAACTCAAGAGGAACGTGGATTGAAACCTCTTAAGGAAAATAAATTTAGAATCAGTAAATCTAGATACGATTCTATCGATTCGTATCTTAGCAAACAAGGGGAGAGATATAATGATGTCCCTGTGACATATGATGACGAAATATATAAGCAACTTTTGGACAACGACATTGATCATTTACTCGCGCAACACATAGCTCATTTGTTTATCAGAGATAGCGTATCTTTATTCTCCGAAAAAGTACATCAGGACGATTTGAAAGATACTGATCACTTTGAGGTAAAATTACAATTGCTAGCTTATGCATGTAATGCTAAGACTTACAGATGTTAATTGCAATTGCAAAATAACACACAATTATAAAATATATGTTATTATTTTAGAATATACAGTCTACAAACTGGCAAACGATGCGTTTTAAACCACCACCGCCAAATTCTTCTATCGGTTGGCGTGTAGAATTCCGTCCATGTGAAGTTCAAATCACGGACTTTGAAAATGCCGCAATAGTTTGTTTTACAGTATTATTGACGAGAGTCATATTGAGTTACAAATTAAATCTTTTAATTCCAATCAGTAAAGTTGATCAAAATATGGTCAAGGCGCAAAAAAGAGATGCGGTCAAAGTGGAGAAATTTTGGTTTCGTCGTGATATTACTTCAGACATAAAATCTGATGATGCTCAATCAGAATACACTGAATTTACAATTAATGAAATTATTAACGGAAAGGTGCTTATTTTAGGAAAAAATATGCAATATAAGAATATTTTGTGTTATTGTATAATACATATTTTTAAATATACACTTTTGTATATAAATTTCGTGTAAATATATTTTTTAATAAATTGTAATAAATTCTATTATTTTCAATGTAATCTATTATTTTTGTATTTTTTAGGATGGTATTTTCCCTGGTCTTGTGCCATTAGTTAATTCGTATCTTGCTAATATGGATGTAGATGCAGATACACATTGCACTATACAAAGATACATAAAATTAATACAAAAACGAGCTTCTGGGGAACTTTTAACAACTGCAGCCTGGCTAAGGAAAGAGGTCACTTCACATCCTGAATATAAGTAAGCAATATATATATATATATATATATATATATATATATATATCATGTATATTTTTTCCTTAAATTATAAATAGTATTGTAAATTTAAATAAACCCTATATTTATATAAATATGATATTCTTTTAATAAAATATTAAATGCAAAAACAGGCAGGATGCTGTAATAACACAGCGCATCAACTATGACTTGCTAAAAAAAATCCATAGCATTGTTTCCAATGATGTATTATGTCCAGAGCTACTCGGACAGTGTATATTATCTAAAACTACTGATACCATACCTGCTGCTGTTGCAAAAGCAGAAAAATGTTCAACAACAAATTGTTAATGATTTTGAAACATTTCAGGTAAATCAATAAATATCTCTTTTTTTAATGTCCTTATATATACACATATTTTATACTGTTAATTTTTGTAATTAGATAAATATATTTGCGTTCACAATTGTCAAAATTTTTATTAAAACAGTATAAAAGAAATGTAGCACAATATAAAATTTTATATTTGTAATTTTATATTCCATTTGTTAGAGATGTATTGCATACTTTTATCTATCAAATATAAATATATAAGAGAGCAACATAATTTTCAAAATTCTAAAAAAGAAATAATTTTCAAATTTTAAAAGAAAAGGGAATAGTATTGAGTACAAAAAAGAATTAGAATTGGTATGACAATAAATCATCATTCCACATAAAAGTGCATTCCACAAATTAATGAATTTGTGCTTAATTCATTTAAATGTATTATTTAATATAAGGGTCAGAAAAGTTAATTTTAAAGTAACTCATTACTATTCCTTTTTCTGAAAAGTAACTCATTACTATTATTTGTTATCGTTATTCAAATACTAACACAAATCGTTCCGTTACTTTTTTCAGTTATTAATACAAAATTAAGTTAAACATCTAAAATTCAAATTTTTAATATTATTTCCATACTTTACATTTATTTTATAAATTTACATTTTCAAATATCATTTTATATTAATTAAGATATAAAAAAAGCGATATTATGATAATAATTAATTTTAAATAAAAAAAATTTTTTAAGTTTGCAAATTATTTTTTTTCAGATTTCTAAATATGTTGTAAATAAAAAAAATTTTCTTACTGTTAGTTTTCTTTCAATAGATTTGTAAATAATCAAATATTTTTGTAATTAAATGACATGATATAACTACATACTAATATCTATATAATTTCTATTATCTTGAATTCTTGATTAATCATCGAATTATCTGTAACAAAATGTTTCTTATAAAGAGAGAAAGAAAAGTTTCTTTATATCAATATTGATTAAGTTTGAAAAAAGTAACGATAAAAGTAATTACTAATTTCGGTAGTTATATTAAAAAATAACAAGTCACAAGTAACAAAGTCTCTTTTTTTGTTACACACAAAATTTTTAACCATTACTATTATAGTTATCAAAATAAAAATTGTAATGTTAACGGCATTAAAAGTAACGCGTTACTTTTCAACCTTGATTAAAATATTATTATAATATATTAAAAAAATTCTTTAATTGAACACAAACGCAGTAATATAAAAAGTTTAATTTTGTAATACATGTATGTATGTAGTTAAAATCAACAAGAATTTTAATTTGTTAACACAAGAATTGATAATTTATTTTTTATGATTTATCAATATGATTATTTTTTTATAATTTCTTTTATTCTAAAATTAATTTATTCTTTTATTAATTTTACATAATGATTGATGATGATTAATGAAAGTTACATTTGATTATCACATTTTTTTAATATAAATAAATGTTATTTTTGTTATTTTGAAAGATAAAGTATATTTAAAATACGTATGTTATATACTATTCGATATATATGAAAAGATAGAATGGTGACATAACAACTACCAAACTAGTTAAAATTTTACAAAAGTATTAAAGTTTTTATGTTATGTTGAAAATCTGTTTTGTATTCAAGCAAGTCCTTTAAAAGTTATTTATGTAGGCACATTTAAAAAAAAATAACAAATTTTAATTTAATGTATGTTTTATATAAGATAATTTAAGTATTTAAAGTATATATATTAAGTATTATAGTTATACGAGTTGTTATTCAACTATCTTCCAATATACTTTTAAATAATAGTATACACAGTGTTTTTAAATAGTGTGTGTACATAGTATTACTGAAAAAATTATAAAAAATTATAAAATATTACTCAAATAATATTATATCTTTTTTAACATATACTAAATATTGATGAATTGATTTGGCAAAGTATAAAGGATGCAAATATTTAAGCAACACCATTTTTAAGACTTTAGATGACGATATAATTATGGTTAAAGAAGTATACATTATAATGGAGACTTGTACGTACTTAATATATATTTATGTTTACAAATTATACAAAGATATATTTCTATTGAAATATTAATTTTCAAAATATAATACAATAAGTTATGAAATAAATAAAAATATGTATATAATTTATGTTATAACTTATTTATGTTATACACACGCGCGCGCGCACACACACACACACAAACACACGCGTATATACATGCTGTTATAATTTTTACAAATTGATAGATTATTTTAAATAAAACAAAAAATTGTTATTATATCAATAAAGCATTAACTATATCTTTACAACATTGTCTGTCACTTTTTTTCTTATCATTTCTTTTTTTTAATTATATATAAAAAAATAATATTAATGTGATAGATATAAAATCGATAGAATTTTAGTTTTACTAATATAAACATATTTTCATAGAATTTTTAAATTATTGATATGAAATATTTATTACATACATTAAAAGTATACTCATAATTACAATTTGTGCGTCAATCAGTTAATTTATTTAAATTCGATGTGTTTTATATATTTAAATTTGTTTTATATGAAATATAACTATTCCAAAATACAGCAACCACTTGTACAACTAAAACTTGATAATGTAAAGGCACTAAAGAAAAATTTACAAGTTGTACCATAGGCCAAAGCTAAAAAGAAATAATAATGTCACAAAACAAATAAAAGAAAATTTATACAAGATATATAGTTCATTACCTTATAATTATTCATTAAAATATCACTATATTCATCTTGTATTTTAATTTTTAATTTTTCAGTACTTTTTCCTTGGCAAATACCAATAGTAACTAGTAAAACTGCTGTGAATATAGGTGCAAATAGTAACTGGTCCCACACAATCTTTTTTATTGCAACAGAATAACCTTTAGAACCTATATATTTATCTAAAATACCATACCAAGTTCTTGTTGCTGGACCCTAAGTATTTTTTTATTAATGCATAAATTTTTACTTATTAATAAGTAATATATTCTATTTCTGATATTTGTATAATGTTATTATGTTATCTATATATTTTATAATCTATATTAATCTATATTAATTTAAATATTTTGTGTGTAATCTACCTATTATAAACTATATATTTTATATTAAATTTCAAAAACATTAAGCAAATATACTAGAAATATCTGTGAAAAATACTTGAAATTCTTATGTCATGCAACATTAATAATACAAATGTACTTACACTTATAAACAAACCAATCACAGTAAACTGCATTGTACGTGCCAAATCAATAGTTTTTGAGTTGTCTATAAAATTTTGTGCAATCTGATCACCAAGTCCCATTAATATTCCTATTCAATATTATATTCAATATTACTCAATATCGTATTACAATATTTACATACTTTACTATATGTATACATATATATTGTACAGTGTAAATTAAAATGAATTGTATTATACTACCAGATTGTACTGCCTGTGTACTTATAGGATACATTTTTAGAGCTTTCTGATATAATATCTTTATATTTCGCATAATTGTAAACGATCCAACAATATTACGTCGTTTAATAAAAATTGCGGTAAATATGAAGGAGAGTGGTGTCCTCACGAATTTCGCTGAAATTTGATAATTTAGTGTATTTTAATACGTAAAATACGAATCTGTTAATTAAAAAAAAGTTATGAAGCACTAAAGTCGACAGTTGTTTAGGGTTAAGAAAACCGCCATACTGGGCACAGATATCTAGGGTACGTTCCGAAACGATTTTACTCTTCGATGAAAATTTTACTTGATAGCCGTTCCGAAACTCTTTTAAGCTTCCGATTGGTTCGAAACCATCGCAGGAAACCATTAACCCAGACCTTGCCAGGATTCTGAATGAGTTAAACCAGTAGCACACGATGCTTGTTTTCGTGCTGGATTGCATGCGAGCATTACGATGATTTGACAATTCTTTAATATCGAAATTACGATTGGTCAGTTAAAATGCTCACATGCGATCTAGTACGAAAAATCATACGGTGTGCCGCAGGCTTAACTCATTCAGAATCCTGCGCAATGATCTGGTAATGGTATTCTGCGCTCGACGTTTGGTGCTGCTGTGACGTCCCGCCATTTTAAAAATTACTAGGTTTAGTTATTATTCACTTACCCATCTTATTTCTTTAGTATAACCATGAGATAAGGACGAATATTCGATTTTATTACCTATAATCCAATTTTATTCTCTATTATCGTTTTTATTTTAACCTTAAGGGGTAATATCACCTTGTGTTCACTAAATCAAGGGTCATTTTCTCGAAGCGATTTAAAATAAATGGAAAGATTTATTAAATTCTAATTTTCTTTACATTAAAGTACAGGTCTTAAGGTATAAAAAAATTTTTTTTTATATTTTTAAAAATTAAAATGGCGGCACTGTAGCTCTTTGAAAAAAATCCATTTTTCGTCGTTGACCTTGCTGGCCGTACCTCTACAGATCACAATTCTGCATCTGGAACAAAAATTCAAAATTTTTCTGAAAATGTGGTCCAAGACCTAGTGAACGGCGTAGGATTTTTTTTATTAATCGATTTAAAAAAAAATGGCGTCGATTTGAAGCAAAAGTTTTTTTTTCTTTCGAAAAATTCAATCGAAAATCGGCCATAAAATCGGTAATTTTTAATTAATCAAAAAAATCCTACGCCGTTCGTTGGAGAATGTTATTGTAAAGCTACAGTTAAATTTTGAAGTCAATCGGCTGAAAATTGAAGGCGCTAGTGGTACGGCCAGCTCGAAAAACATGGTTTCGAGATAAACGCGTTTAAAGTTTTAAGTAGTAAAATTTAAATGAAATTTTTGATTTACCTCTAATCTGCGATGTCTGCACCGTACAAAATTGGCCTTCTAGTTGAAGATTCTCATGGTCGTCATCCTTTCTTGAAGATATTGTAGCCTTGCGAGCTTCTTTAGCTTCTTATTCAGAAAGGGGGGAGCGCTCAGATAGCTTGATTCGTATGGCATTGGCTTCGGTACAGAAATTATAACAATTTAATCCAATTTTTATGCCCAAAAGCTTCATGACTTGCATAATTCCAAAATAGCCATCATTGGAAAATATTACAGCAAGATATGCAGCAATATCAAGCACAGTTTTGCCACTGGAGATATTTTTCGGTGCCATTGGCCAGACGAGTGCATTGAAGCTTTCGTTCGCGTTCTGAGTAAATCCGCCCAAGCAACGTGTCAGTAACTCATCTTTGCTCAATTCTTCATAAACTGGCTTTACAGCTTCAAAAACTTCCATTGACATGGCAGTATCATGCTTATAAGTATCGATTTTGCACTTTCCACTTGCCGGAATTTCTTTTTCTCTGTATTTTCTGGCTTGTTTTAGTCCTTTTACGGGAAGCACAATCTACTTTACTCATTTTCTAAATAAACACAAGATAGATTGATAAACTCACTACAACAACAAGAAATACGTGTGGCTTACGAGTAAGCAAAACGCCATGTTTTTCTCTATCAACGGATTTTTTCGCATCATATCCTTTTATAGTTCGTAAATTTGAATAATAGAGACATCTATTAGTCAAATTTTGAATCTTAAAACTATCGACAGTGATTAAGATAGAGAAAAAGATTACAACTGCGCCGCACTCGAGCGCGTTTGAATTACCCGCAAAACAACGCTGTGGTTTTTTCCGAAAAATTGACTTTTTAAATTATTTAAAAAATCTCCTCTCCCATAAAACCTTTTGGATTTCATTTTTGGGTAGTTTATCGAGCATTTAAGCCAATAAAAAAAAAACGAAAAAAAAGTCAACAAGGTGATATTACCCCTTAATATACGCGTATAAGAATATTGATTATAACACTTGCTTACCGTTCCTATTATACACGGTTATTTAACCTGCTAATTCATTATGTACTCCTTAATCGATATATAATAAGGACTTTTTATGTATGCTAAATTTAAATTTAAACTTTAAACAATGCGATCTAAATAAATAATTTAAGTAAATAAGGTATTTCAAGGGAATTATTGGATTAATTTTAAATGAATAACTACCAAATTATTCCAACTCTTTGAAATGCTTTATTTAAAATTTGTGTAAATAACTTCCTTTATATGCTGTAATTTAAATCCGATTATTCTACCAAAATACACATATTTCTAAATCTTTTCTAAAATATAAGGGAAGTTATATGTATATATAATAACTCTATAATCCTAATACCGATAGCGTTAAATATTATTAGGAGTACAAATAAGTCTCCGCCGTTTTTTATCAAAAATTGAGCATTTATTGTGAAAGAACGGTACCTTATGTTTTATTCAAAGTATTGTCCATCGCTAACCACTACTTTTTCCCATCTTTCTGGCAGCATACGGATACCGCGTCGGAAGAACTCTTCATCTTTTGAAGCTATCCATGAATCGACCCAATTTTTGGTATCTTCATATGATGTGAAGTGCTGCTCAGATAGGCCATGTGCCATCGATCGGAACAAGTGATAATCCGAAGGGGCAATGTCTGGTGAATACGGCGGGTGGGGTAGGACTTCCCAATTGAGTGTTTCCAAATAGGTTTTGACCGGCGCCGCAACATGTGGACGAGCATTATCATGCAGGAGAATAATTTTGTCGTGTCTGGAGTAGTGGGCGCGTTTTTCCTTGAGTGCTCGGCTCAATCTCATCAATTGTGTTCGGTAGAGAGCCCCAGTAATGATTTCGTTTGGTTTGAGCAACTCATAATACACAACACCAAGCTGATCCCACCAAATATACAACATGAGTTTTTTTTCATGAATATTCGGCTTGGCTGTCGATGTTGAAGCATGGCCACGTGGTCCCCATGATTTCCTCTTCTTTGGGTTATCGTAATGGATCCATTTTTCATCATTAGTGACTATATGATGCAAAAAACCCTTTCGTTTATGCCTGGCAAGCAGCATTTCACATGTGCAAAATCGGCGTTCAACGTTTCTTGGCTTCAGTTCATATGGAACCCAATTTCCTTGCTTTTGAATCATTCCCAACGATTTTAAACGATGTGAAATTGCTTGTTGAGTCACTCCTAATGTAAGTGCAAGTTCTTCGTGCATTTGGCACGAATCTTCCTCCAATAATGCTTCCAATTCTGCGTCTTCGTACACTTTCGGCCTTCCGCTACATTCTTTGTCTTCGACGTCAAACTCACCGTTCTTAAACTTATGAAACCACTCACGACAACTTCTCTCACTTAAAGCAGCCTTATCATATGCTTCTACAAACAATTGATGCGTCTCAGCTGCAGATTTCTTCAAATTAAAGAAGTAAATCAAAAGTTCCCGCAAATGACGCTTATTCGCTTAAAACTCGACATTTTCGCACAAAAAAAATTATGTGATGCTAATACAAAATCGCTAATATTTCAAGGTTATGATGTTGCCAGATGTCCAACCTTACGATATGACGTTTTACATCTGACAATTTCAACCATAACTTACTGGTGAGGCCATCTTTTGTCAAACGGCGGAGACTTATTTGTACTCCTAATAATATTAAAATTAAGAGCGCATAACTTTTGCGTGAGGTAATTAAAGAGGAAGTCATAAATATGTCAAACATTGATTTTCCAGAGATGTCGACCGACACCTCTGGTGAAATTCACGCATTACCCTTTGATCACCGCCACGCCTCAATGAAAAAGATATCTATGTCTAAACAATTGATAAGAAATTCGGTGGTGCTTCCGAGTACGACGTGGTCCGATGAAGAGATCACCTTACTCGAGAATTCCTTTAGCAAAAGATCATGCACGGAACAAAGGAATTACTAGTATATAAACCCCGGATTTCAGGCACGAGCGTACAGTAGTAATAATAAGAGAGCAGTAATAATAAGAGAGCAGTAATAATAAGAGAGCAGTAATAATAATTAGTCAGTAGAAAAGTCAGTAGAAAAGACTTGCTGTTAGTCGCTTTTGTCAGTGTCACTTCGTCGTTATTACTTTTATATTCTTAATCATTATAACTAAACTATTATTTTTGTATCAATTTGCTATATCATTCGGTCTGGTTCAAATAAAAGAATTATAATTGTGCATATTTATTGTGTCAATTTTGGAGAAACCCAGACTTGCGTATACGAAGACGCGTATACCAAGATCAGCAGAAATCAACCTCTGAATAGTAAATACCAGATTCCTTTATACCCTTATTTTATTCTCTCGTTTTCAACCTCAATTGTTTGTTCACCTTCCTTGCATTTACCACATTTCCTGAAATAAGATTTCGAGAATTAAATAAATAACAATACTGTCAAGCACTAGCACGTCGCTGATAGTATTCCTTTCCTACTCAGCATAAAGGTTGCAATAACTTATCATTTTATTCTGGCAAGTCAGAGTAATTATTAGTTAAGATTCATTATACAGCTCTCATCCGTTAAGCGTCGGGCGCCTCTTTCCCTTAGGATCTCTCCAGGCATCCTCTGTCATGCCGGGAACGTCTGCACTCTCCTATTTTTTCTCCAAAAAGGTTCATTACTAGCTCTAGCCGACCCCAGATTTCGATCGTCTCCGGGCATCCACTGTCATGCCGGAGGCATCCAATTTCCTAAATTAATTTGTTAATCGGCGCTTCACGGAATATATTAAACAAAATTTGAATTTATATAATGTACTGCTAACAACACAAACGTCTTTCCTTATACAGGGATACAGCATCTTCTCGGTGCCGTCCGAAAACCTTCTTGCTCCTTCTCCCATTTTTTCCGTCGCTTCCGAGCATCCCTGTCATGCCGGAGACATCCATATCCTTATAATTTATTCCTTCATTGACGTTTCAGTTGAACTAAAATCACAAGAATTAATTACACAATTTAATAATTTGCGCTGACACCCAGATAATAATAATAACAATCACAAAATAAATACACACTAATTTCCTCAATCAATTCCTTAAATGGTGAATTC